GAGGCTGCCAAATGGGTGTGTCTGGGTTCCTGGACTGCAATGGTGGGTTACTGCCTCCCTCCCCACAGGAACCTCACTGGCCCACGGCCCCACTTATCTGGTTCATACATGAGACCCTCCCCCAGATGATTTGACAAAATGTGCTTTCCTATTTCAGGGGATCAGTTTGCAAACTAGGTTCATTCAATCAGATTCTCAGCCTGGACTTAGAGACAGAGTCAATCAAATGCTGGTGGGCACACAAGTGAAAATCTGGCCTGTGCTGGATGGCCAAAGATGCCGGAGGAGCAGGGAAGCCAGGAGGAGGGTGGGGAAGGCAGTGGTTTTAGCCCTGACCCTCAGCAATGCAAACAACAGGAATTCGGAGAAGTGGAAGCAACTGAGACGGCTGAGTTAGCAAACTGCAGAGGGCACTGTAAACAGGAGAGAGGTGAAACTGATCAGGCTTCACTTTCTAACCTCAGTGAGGAGGCATTTGGGATAACACTGGGCTGGGAGCTAAAACCTTTACATCTGAAGTGACACTGACATGCAGGGTGACCTCAGGAAGCCATGTGCCCTTAGATCTGATTTCTTCCTCTGTATTCTTTTCATCTGTTTTATTTTCCCATGTGCCCAGATAAAGATTATACCTCCGGCCGGACGCGGTGGCTCAAGCCTGTAATCCCAGCACTTTGGGAGGCCGAGGCGGGTGGATCACGAGGTCAAGAGATCGAGACCATCCTGGTCAACATGGTGAAACCCCGTCTCTACTAAAAATACAAAAAAATTAGCTGGGCATGGTGGCGCGTGCCTGTAATCCCAGCTACTCAGGAGGCTGAGGCAGGAGAATTGCCTGAACCCGGGAGGCGGAGGTTGCGGTGAGCCGAGATCGCGCCATTGCACTCCAGCCTGGGTAACAAGAGTGAAACTCTGTCTCCAAAAAAAAAAAAAAAGATTATACCTCCTTGAGCCTCCTTCCCTCCACCACTAGGGGTTCAGAAGGGACCTACGCTTTGGAGGTGACACTCACCTTCCCTAGGCCTCGACTCCAACAGACATCAGGGGAAGGCTTAGACACTCCCTTATTTACCCCTCTGTGTTAGTTTCCCGTGTTTGTCTTAACAAAATAGCACAAAGTGGGTCACTTGAAAGAACAGAAATGTAGTGTTTCACAGCCCTGGAGGCAGATAGCCTGAAATCGACATGTGGCCAAGCCTTGCTCTTCTAGAAGCTGGGGGCTCAATGGGGGCTCCTCCCTGCCTCTTCCAGCTTTGGGAGGCTCCAGGTGCTCCTTGGCTGGAGGCTACGTTACCACACTCTCTGCTTCTGTCTTCACCTAGCAGCCCCCTCGTCTCTGCTGTCTTCTTTTCTTATAAGGACATATGTTGCTGGATTTAGGGTCCACCCAAGTATTCCAGGATGAGCTCATCTTGAGAGACTTAACTTCATTACATCTGCAAAGACCCTTCATATTAGGACTTTCTTGCACTGATATAAAGAAAATATGGCTGGGTGCGGTGGCTCAGGCCTGTAATCCCAGCACGTTGGGAGGCTGAGGCAGGCAGATCACCTGAGGTCAGGAGTTCGAGACCAGCATGGACAATCTGGTGAAACCCCGTGTCTACGAAAAATACAAAATTAGCCAGGTGTGGTGGTGTGTGACTGTAGTCCCAACTACTAGGGAGGCTGAGGCAGGAGAATAGCTTGAGTCCAGGAGGTGGAGGTTGCAGTGAGCTGAGATCATGCCACTGCACTCCAGCCTGGGTGACAGTGTGAGACTCTCTCTCTCAAAAAAAATTAAAATAATAATAATAAAGATGAAGGGTGAGTAGGCAGTGGGGAACGGGGAGGCAGAACAGAGACAGAGGCTGTGAATCTTGCTGATGGTGAGAGGGAGCTGGCCTGGAGCACTGTGGAGAGGGGGCCTGGACTTGGATGAGGCTGCCAGGATGAAGATCAGGGCAGGGCAGGTACTTTGGAAATCGCCCCTGCATTTTGTTTTGTTTTGTTTTTGAGAGGAAGTTTCAGTCTTGTTGCCCATGCTGGAGTGCAATGGCTTGGTCTCAGCTGCTCACCGAAACCTCTGCCTCCCGAATTCCAGCGATTCTCCTGCCTCAGCCTCCCGAGTAGCTGGCATTATAGGCATGTGCCACCACACCCAGCTAATTATGTATTTTTAGTAGAGATGGGGTTTCTCCGTCACAATGACCCATGTGATGTTCCGAAGGAAGGTGATGGGAATGGAGGGGCTGATGAAGGACAGAAGAGGTTTGACAAGTCCCAGTGATATGACATAATCTCTACATTGAGGACCATCACCTACAAAAATGAAGGTCAGGCTGGTCTCAAACTCCTGACCTCAGGTGATCTGCTTGCCTCGGCCTCCCAAAGTGCTGTGATTACAGGCATGAAGCACCATGCCTGGCCCTGCCTGTGCACAGCGTCTCCTCTGTACCCGAAATGCCTCAGCGCTTCAGCCTGAGTCCTGTTCTTTGCAATGAGTCACTCACTCTTTTCCATAATAGTGCTATTGTGAGGGGGAGGCTATGATCTCATCAGTGTAGGGGCACATGGTGAGGATTAGCTAAGGAAGCGTTGGCAAATATTACAGAGTCTCAATTCTGATGGTGACTGTTCCCTGCCTTGATGGTACCTCCTCTTTGGGCTGAGCCTGGGGTTGAGAACCAGGCTTCAGCCCTCAAGGAGCTCACCATCTGAGCCAGGGCCAATGAGATGGGGCATGTCACGTTTGGTACCATGGGGACAGCCTTGAAAGTGGGAGTGGAGGTGCTGCCTAAAGGTTTGCTGGCTCCAGTTGGTGGTTAGTGAATTATTCATTTATCAACCACTGCGCTGAGGTGCCTGCCAGGAGTGTGCCCTGTAACCTAGGGCTTTAAAAATTCATGTGTTCATTGAGTCATTCTCTCGGCTCACAGTCCCAGGTGACTTCTCTTTGCTTAGCCTGGACTCTTCTCAGTACATGAGGCTCAGAGGAGAAGGAGGCGTTCAGGCTGTGCCTAGAGGACAGGCGGGCCACCAGGCCAGGGGCCAGAGGGAAGCACTGTATGATTTGGGGTGCTCGCATATGTGCGTGTGTACATGTGCATGTATGTATGTGAGGGGAATGCATGATGCACACGTGTGCATGTGCATGGGTGTGTGTGTGTGTGTAGTGTGCACAGATGTGGTGGTAGGGGGAAGCTGAGAGACAGCAGGGAACGTGGATTTGAGCCTTCCGGATCTAGCTGTGGCTGGTCCTTGGGCTGGGGAGAGGGTGGGGCTGCTCACAGCTTGGGGACAGACACAGTACTGAAGGCATGGCAGATGTTAGCAGCAGGACCCTGGGTCTGTCCACACACACACACACACACACATATGCACGCACATGGGCACACCCGTGCACTTACACACAAGAGCAAGCTGGGTGATGGAAGTGGAGCAGTAATTCCTTCACCACGCAGAATATGTGCAGAGACTTTCAGCTGGTAGACCATAACCTTTGAGGGATCTGCCGAAGGCCTCCGCCATGAGTGGCAACGTAGTGAGATCCGAGTCTGGTAAGTTGATAAGGTGACTGCAAGGACCAGCATGTGAGGCCGAGACCTCACATTTTCTCCTGAAGACGAAGGAACTGGAGGGTGTTAGGCAGGGCAGGCCCTGTTCAGCCTTGCCTTTTAGAAAGCTTGCTCTGGCGGTTGGTATTGTGGGCTGAATGGCAGCCACCAAAGGTGTGTCTGTGTCCTAATCCCTGTGACTGTGACCTTATTTAGCAAAGGGGCCTTTGCAAGATGCAATGAAGATAAGGATATCGAGATGAGCTCCTCCTGGATTATCTAGGTGAGCCTTAATCCCGTGACAGGTGTGCTGATAAGAGACGGAAGACAGGGAGAAGGCCATGTGGAGGCGCAGACTGCAGAGACGAAGCTGTGAGCCCAGGACGGACTCAGGCTACAGAAGCTGGAAGAGCAGGCAAAGCCCTGCTGTCACCTCCATTTCAGGTGTCTGGCCTCCAGAATCCAGAGAGGATATATTTCTGCTGTTTTTAACCACCCAATTTGAGGTCGTTTGTTACAGTAGCCCCAGGAAACTAACCCAGCTGGGATGGAGAGAGGACTTGGGGAGTGTGGTGGAAGCAGGGGGTGCTGAGGAAGGAGCAGTGACTTTTTCCTCTCCATACTGCCAGCTGTGGGGTTGCACTGTAGCAATGATCTGAATGTATTAGAATGACTCAAGTGATTGTCACTAGCTTGGGAGTCCCTTTGGGGTTCCATGTCCCTAAAGCCTGATGCACCATTTCCTGCTTGTAGAAGACGTGAATGAAAAATGGGATGGTAAATACATGAGTTTGATATTCAACATTCATTCCACAAACATTTGTTAGGCTCCTACTGTGCATCGGGCTGGAAAGGCAAGCAGAAGCTAGATTCCCAACCGATCCCGGGAGGCTGGACGATCCAGAGACAGACACCCTTCACGGGTCCATTCGAAAAGGCCCTCTTGGAATTTTGTGGCCAGCATTTCCTTGAGGTGTCGGTGGATCGGGGTTCGCAAACACTAGCAGGTTTTCCGGTGGCCGCTGCCTACTCAGATCTCAGAAACCCGCGCCTCCACGTGAACTCCCGCAGGCGTCCCCCTTCCCCAGCGCTTGGCGGGCGCTACCAACTGTCCCTGGCCAAAGCCACGCTTCACCAAAGACATCTTCTGATCGCGGGGATTTGCGGCTCGGGTGACCGGAGGTGCCCTCCCGCGGGACTCAGAGAAACTCCACTAGGTCCCGCTCCTGGGGGAGGAGCCTGCGCCTCCCAGGGGCGGGGCTAGAGGAGTCCAGGGGCCGGTGGACCACAGCTGGCCCCTCGGCGGTGTTGGCCTCTGCGCCTGCGCGGGCGCCTGCGCACGCGGCACGGCAGCCGTTGCAGCGCAGGCGCGCGCTCACCCTGGGGTGACAGCCCTGAGGGGCGGGGCTGGGGCGGGGCTGGGGCGGGGCTGGGGCGGGGCTGGGGCGGGGCGGGGCGGGGCGGGGCGGGTGGCGCGGCCGCGCCCGCGCCCGCCGGGAGTACCCCCTGCCTCCGCTCTGCCGGCCTCTGCGCGCCGGGGCCGCTTTTCCTTCGCAGGGGCTGCGGGGCCACATGGAAGGCCCTGAGGGCGGCGGACGGCGACCCGTAGCGCGGGGCCCCGAGGGACGGCCGGCGCCCGAAGCCAGAGTGCACTTCCGAGTGGCGAGGTTCATCATGGAGGCAGGTAACCGCTCCCGGGGGCTGGCTAGGGGAGGCAGGGGCAGGCGGCGCTGGGGACCCTTCGCGGAGCGGGCTCGGACGGCCAGGCCGGCCTGCCGGAATGCTCACCGAAGCGGAGGCTGGGAGCCCGGGAGGACCTTGCGCCGCGCCCGGTGTGCTGGGCCGCGAGCCGCAAGGTGTCCCCATTGCACGAACCGGTGTGCAGGCCCTAGGAGAGTACGTGGCCGGGTCGGGTCTCCAGCTAGGCGGGGACCGGCCCGGGCGCCCGCAGCTCTGCGCTTTGCGCCACGCCTTCTGCCTCACCCGCGGCCCTGCATTCCGGGAGACTTTATGGCGCTCGGTCGCGAGGAGCCGTTTGGAGCACGCTGTCCGGGAGTTCCTGTCACTCGGAGTACCTAGGCTGCCTGTTCAGCAGCCTGCTGGGGCATCCGCAATAGTGCCTGGCGCCGCGCTTCCCGGGCAAGGTGATGAAGCCAGGATCTCTGTAGAAACAGTTTCCATCATTCCATCAACAGGATTTTTATTTATTTATTTATTTATTTTAAGACCAAGTCCTGCTCTGTTGCCCAGGCTGGAGTGCAGTGGCGCGATCTTGGCCAACTGCAGCCTCTGCCTCACGGGTTCAAGCAGTCCTCCTGCCGCAGCCCTCTGACTAGCTGGGACTACAGGCGTGTGCCACCATGCCCGGCTAATGTTTGTGTTTGTAGTAGAGATGGTTTCACCATGTTGGCCAGGATGGTCTTGAACTCCTGACCTCAGGTAATCCACCCTCTTGGCCTCCCAAAGTGCTGGGATTACAGGCTTGAGCCACATCGCCTGGCCCATCAATAATATCTTGATAGGAGATACTGTTAGTTGGCAGACGATTATTTGCTACCTTTCCTGCCTTTTGTGCACTGTTTGGGGAAGAAGGGTTGTACAGATGCGCTTTCTAGTTAAGGCGGGCAGAGAGTGGGGGGAATGCTGCAGAACTCTTCATCCCAGTAATATGTAAATGTGCTGTGATTTGCAAGAAGAGTTGCCAAGTTTATTAGGGAAGGATGGCAGTGATGCCTCATCTGCTACTGTCATCTGCTTGGACGCTCCATGTAAACTGGGGTTTGCTCTGTAAAAACAAGGCTTGGAAGGTCATGTCAGTAACAGCAACTTATCTGGCATATCCTGGAATGAGGGGTCCCAGATAGGAGTTACCAATATACAACAAGTTTACACCTTCTGAGGGACTTCTTTATGAAATGTGTTGCACAAACCTTTGGTCTTTGTTGGAGACTAAGTGCTGATCTCCCAAAGATGTCCCTTTCCTAATCCCCGGAACCTGTTAATATCATGTTATATACCAAAAGAGACTTTGAAGATGTGATTAGACTTTGAGATGGGAGATTATCCTAGATGATCTGGGTGGGCCCGGCGTAACCACCTCCATCCTTATAAGAGAAAGGCAGGACTCACAAAGAAGGCCACGTGAGGACAGAAGCAGAGTTAGAAGCAATGGAGGAAGGGGCCAGCAACCAAGGAATGCAGCCCTCTCTAGAAACTAGAAAAGTCGAAGAAGCAGATTCTCCCATGGAGCCTCTAGAACGAGCCAGTCCTATTGGGACGTTGATCTTAGCCCTCTAGGCTTGTGCTGGACTTCCGACCCCCAGCATCGGAAGAGTATAAATGTGTGTGGTTGAAGTGGCTGAATTTGTGGTGATGTGTTGCAGTAGCCCCAGGGAGCTAATTCACCTTCTTAGGCAGAAGATGCTGACCGCCCTTCCATGGGCGATTGCGGGTTGTTCTCCACCTTCTTTCAATCTAGTGGATGTCATTTAACCTCCTCTTGTGAACTTGTTTTGGTTTTCTTAGGAGCTGTTCAGGGATGTACTGCGGATGCGCTTTTAAGTGGTGAATCCCCTGAGTCGTGCTCTGTGAGTTTTGTTGTAGAGACAGGGTCTCACGCTGTTGTCCAGGCTGATCTCGAACTCCTGGGCTCAAGCAGTCCTGCTACCTCAGCCTCCCCAAGTGCCGGATTACAGGCATAAGCCAGCCTCCCTGGCCCACTTTTCAATGTGTCGGTGTCCTTCCCTGGTGCCTGGCCGTGGCCGTAAACGTTGCCTTTTCTCTGCAATGCGGGTGGACTAGGACACCAGTGCTCAGTATAACCTTTCACTGTGACTTTGGGACTTGTGGCACCCACGAAGCCGTTTCCCTTCTGTCATCGTAACTGTGGAATGGGCGACCTCCAGCTGACTGCTTGCTAAGATGAACCCAGACACACAACAGCTTGTGGTCCTTTCCCAGACTTTTGCAGAAGCTGTCTCGCCAGTTGCTAACTGAGCAGTACTGGGAACCCTTGTTTCTCAGAGCGTGGTCTACAGACCCTTGACATGGGCATGACCTGGGGCTTGTCAGAAGTGCAGGATCTCAGAGCTGCAGGCCTACAGAAGAGGGGTCTGCATTTGAACACCATCCCGAGGCTTTGGTTGCTCATTAGAGTCTGAGAACCCAGCGAGAGGCCCAGCAGGAGCCACCAGCTCTGGTGGCAGCTCTTAGACTTGTCCAAGTAGGGCTGTGCCTGCTAGGGCCCATTCCAGTCGCCTCATCAGAGGAGTGAGCCAGCACCAGACTGAAGTCCTCTCTTGCTTTCTCTCTGCAGGTGTCAAGCTGGGAATGCGGTCCATTCCCATTGCCACTGCTTGCACCATTTACCATAAGTTCTTCTGCGAGACCAGCCTGGACGCCTATGACCCTTACTTGATCGCCATGTCTTCCATTTACTTGGCTGGCAAAGTGGAAGAGCAGCATCTGCGGACTCGTGATATCATCAATGTGTCCAACAGGTAATGGCTTTCAGGCCGATGCATTTGGGTAGGCCTCCTGGTGTCTACCTGTGGGGGAAGGGCAACGAAGGCCCCCATGGGGCCCTGCCTAGCAGGTGCCAGCAATGGAGCTTGGAAGTACCTGGATGGCCTTGAACCAGGGCCAGAAACACTAGCAGCAAACATGGGAAGGAGCATCTGATGTCAGAGGCCAGTGAGGTTTGTGAGAGAGAAGCTGGGCCAGATTATGGGGAGTCTGGAGAGCTGGATGGAGTCTAGAGGCAGAGCTTGAGCAGAGGGAGCTTGGAGAGGCATGTCAGAGAAGATTGTGTTGAAGTCTTAGAGCCTGTCTGCAGTGGGAGGGTGTGGACCCAGCCAGGTGTGCGGTGCCAGTTGCTCAGGAGCCTCACTCTGCTGTGGGCGTGGGCGTGGGCATGGCACAGCTGGACCAAGCAGGTGTGTTCCTACTGGGCCAGGATGCAGGGTGTCCACCAAGGCCCAGGAGTCCAGGAGCAAGCTATGTGATCTGTGGAAAGTTACTAACGGGCCGTGCATCATGAGTCTTTCCAGGAACTCTTATTGTTAGGAAAGAAAACGATTCTGTTCTACTTCTTTGTCAAGAAACAGATAATGGAAAAAGCACTCCCCACCTCCTGAGCATGGCAGGTCCACAATGCCCACAAGCGATGGAGGCAGAGACAGGTGGAGAGCCCCCGGAGGCTGCCCGTCATTCCCAGGCCTCAGCAGGGAGGAGCAGGGGAGGGACGTCCTGTGGAGCTCTAGTTAGACATGGACATGGGCTGGGCTCCTGCGGGAAATCAGAAATGAGTGAGCCGCCGAGGGGATGAGTTGTTGGCAGAGAGTTTTGATGGCTTGAATGGGAACTCTGTTCACAACCCTCTCAGGGAATCTTGCGTAGGTAGGAAGGTAGGGATGTTTACAGTATAAGCATGACAGAAAGATCTGGAAGGAAGGAAAGGCAGTCTGGTTAATATAAAAGTGAGAAATGTTCACTTTTTGGAGTATGTCATTCCCATGAGATGCTTAAATACATTCCTCGGATGGCTGGGCGTGGTGGCTCACGCCTGTAATCCCAGCACTTTGGGAGGCTGAGGCGGGTCAATCGCTTGGGCCCAGGAGTGCAAGATCAGCCTGGTCAACATGGTGAAACCTCGTCTCTACCAAAAATACGAAAATTAGCTGGCGTGGTGGCGCACGCCTGTGGTTCCAGCTACTCGGGAGGCTGAGACAGGAGGATCGGTTGAGCCCAGGAGGTCAAGGCTGCAGTGAGCTGTGACTTACACCACTGTACTCCAGCCTGAAAGACAGAGTGAGACCCTGTCTCAAAAAATTAAAAAAAAAATAAAAATAAAAAATAAACGTTCCTTAGGCCCAGAGTGAGAGCCCCAGGCATTGCCACCTCAGGTGATGAAGACTGCCTAACGCCAGGCTGAGTGCAACAGGAGGCACAACCGACTTGGCATGCTCAATCTTGCGGCTCCTCTGGAGCCATCACCAGCAGCAAGTCTTTGCACTTGAGGTCTTGCTGAATGATAGCGGACAGCCCCTCCGGCTAAAACTAGGAGCTGGCTTCTTTCCTCTGTTGGTTACCGTTTTCATTCTGTACACTAGACATGGGGACGAAGATGATTGTATAAAAACACAAAATGGCCCTATATTAATCTACCGCACATGGACAATGTAGTTTGCATCTGGACATTGTGTGACTTAAGCATTTTGAGCCATCCCGTTCTCAGGGACAACTGCCCTGGCTGCTGAGGCCTTGCCGTTTCTCTGCGCAGGTACTTTAACCCAAGCGGTGAGCCTCTGGAGTTGGACTCCCGCTTCTGGGAGCTCCGAGACAGCATTGTGCAGTGCGAGCTTCTCATGCTGAGAGTTCTGCGCTTCCAGGTCTCCTTCCAGCACCCACACAAGGTACATGCTGGGGAATCGGTGCCTGTTCCGAGAGGCTCGAGCTGTGGTCTTTGTTCTTTATCACGAGCGTGCGTCGCATCTCATAAATGAGCACAGCACAGAAGGAGAGCAGGGCTGTGGCTGGGAACTGGGTCTTCCAGCTCCATGCTTCATGGTTGGGTTGGCCGGCCTCTCCCGTCCCACTCCTGTGGGTTTTCTCAGCCAGTTCTCTTTTCACCTTCTGCCTTTCTGCCTGCTCACCTGTGGGCGGGGTCCGTGCGGCCCACCGAAGCTGTGACGGCTCCTGTGGCCCATATAGATGGTGTGCATGCTGGGCCTGAGGGAAGCAGGCTGGTTTCGTGACTGGCCAGAGTCCCTGTCCCTATGAGATGCTGTGATGCCTCGGAGCACACATCCAGCTCAGCTGTGCTTAGGAAGCCATGAGGAAAGCCAGATCGCTTTTAACTTCTAGAAGTGTGTGAGTCTTAACAGAAGAACCATTTCAAACAGCAGCAAAAGGGAAAAGTGGAACGCTTAGGCGCTCGATGCTCTGGGCACTGCCCGCCCCCCCCCCGCCCCCGCCCCCGTGCAGGCAGCTCAGAAGGATGGCTGGAGAGAGAGATGGAGGAGTTGAGGTTGGAGTTGCATTCTTTTTCATCAAAACTCTGACTGAGATCATTGTAGATTCCCACACAGTTGTGACATGTACCCTTGGCCCAGTCTTCCCCAGGGGGAACACAGCCAGGATGTCAGCACTGACACAGTCCACTGGCGTCCCCACTTCCACTTGTACTCGTGCGTGTATTTTTTTCTGTTCCATTTTATCACGACTGCTCAGGGGCCCACCACCGCAGCCAAGGTGAGAGACAGTTCCTCCCACACGGGTCCTTCGTGTTGCCTTTCTAATCTTGCCTCCAGCCTTCCACACTCCCGCCTTAGTCCCTGGAAAGCCCAGGTCTGGGATTTCTGCCCAGTTGTGTCTTAGTGGGCAGAATGCTTGGTCAGCATCCTGGGGGAAGGTTGGAGATGCGCTGGTGGCTGCAGGTTCGAGTTGTCAAGGCGACAAGGCTTAGGAAAGAGCAGCACTCAGGTCTCTGGGGCTGTGTGATCTGTACCTGGGTCAGGAACTCATGGCTTGGTGTGGCTCAGAGCCTGCCAACCCCTCCCCCTCCTTCCAGTCAGGGCTAGGGTGGAAAGTAACAGATGCATCCCTCCTGCACGGCGTGCTGGAGTTGCACACACATGTGTGTTCCGGTCTGTCCAGAGAGCTTGCGGCAGCTTTCTTAGTGGTGAGGTTCTGGCAGAACATCTGTACTCTGAGAGCAGGAGCTGGCAGCTGGGCTGGGAGGTCATCTGGGTGTTGTGGCCAAGGACAGCAGGTGCCCTTGACAGCAGGCGAGATGCATGGGGAGCAGCACCCTCTGTCCTGCCCATGAGGAGGGTACTCTGGAGCACCAGGCCCCATGGGATTTCACGATGGCCAGAGCGGGCCCTGTGGTGGAGGGAGATAGCAGTGGGGTCGGCCCTGGTAGATTTCCCTAGAGCTGGGCCTGGAGGATGAGAGTGGGCAGGTGCGTGGGGTGAGCGATTACAGGCAGCAAATGCAAGTGCCAAGGCCCCAGACGGAGTACACTGGAAGGCAGGGTCGGAGGGGCGGGAGATGGGGCCAGCAGGAGGCCTTGGGGCTTCTTCCTGCATGACATGGAAGTTGCTGGAGGGTTGGAGCAGGTGCTGATGTGATTGTGTCAGCTTGGGGAGAGCAACTGACGGGTGGAGGGGCCTCAACGCAGTATTGAACCGGAAGGCTGATGCACGTGTCTTTGCAGTACCTGCTCCACTACCTGGTTTCCCTCAAGAACTGGCTGAACCGCCACAGCTGGCAGCGGACTCCTGTCGCCGTCACTGCCTGGGCCCTGCTGCGGGACAGCTACCACGGGGGGCTGTGCCTCCGCTTCCAGGCCCAGCACATAGCCGTGGCAGTGCTCTACCTGGCCCTGCAGTTCTATGGAGTCGAGGTACCTGCTGAGGTCGAGGCTGAGAAGCCATGGTGGCAGGTGAGGTGACGTGCCCCCTTTCCTTCGAGAAGTCTCTGTATTACAGTGTTCACCAAATTCTTTCTATCAATTATCCATGAAGAAAGATGTGGGCTGCTGGGGAGCGTGGAAGCTTCAAAGTATCCTGCTGCGATAGCCTGGGACGGGAGCTCCCCCCTCGGCACAGTTGCCATTTAGGGCTCCCGGATGTTGAAAAGCAGCACTGGCCTCCACTGAGATGTCGCCGGGTGCTGTTCTGCATAGAGGTGCCCCTGTCCTGACACACTCTCTTCCCTGGCCCCTGTGCCTAGTGGAAGACCACAGCATTTGCTGATTGTGCATGTTGATTGTCTGGTCCCACATCTCCCACGCCTCCCTGGCACCATAGCAGGTGCTCATGTGCCTTTGAACCCAAGCACCCGTGATCCCAGTCTCAGGCTGGAGACACCCTGTCCCCGTGGCAGTGTGCAGATGGTGCAGGGCCATCTGTGTGGACTGCCAGTATTGCTCCATGCTCGGGCTGCTCAGGGACTTCCAGATTAACGTGGTTGCCTCGTGCTCTCGGTTGGACTCCGGTGAGGGCAGACGCTCTCTGAGGACGTGTGGCGGGTGCGGCCTTGGCCCTGGGCTGCCTGGCTGCTCTGCATCGCTCTTCCTTTCTGCTCTGTGTTCTGCGCTTGCTCACGAACCTCACCTGGTGTGCCGGTAGCACCTGTGTCCCGTGCTCAGCTCCTCCCAGAGGAGCTGTGGCCCTGCACAGCCAGGAAGCAGCTCCACCAGGTTGTTTGATGGTGGCCCAGACTCACCCAGTAATTGTTCAGACTGGGAAGAAGTTACCCTTTTTGGGGTGGCGAGCTTGTGTTTACCTAGCTCTTCTGAAAGGCTGCTAAACTTGATCTGACCTTTGCTTCACAGCTCGGGGCTGTGCGCCAGGAGCTTCTGGAGTCCAGGCACGTCCTGTGGGCTGGGGGTGTGAGGGCCTGCTCCCTCATGATGAACAGGATCCTGGGAGGCCTCCCCCATCCAGGTGCTGCGAAGCTTGCAGCCTGGTTTTTGAAAGCCTTTCTTCCTGTGAGCTCTCGGCTGCCGCTTCTTGCAGCAACAACTTCTGTCACTTGCCTGCCCCATGTGAGCTCAGCATGGCAGCTTGATGTGCTTCCCTGGAGATGAGGAGGGACTGTGGCGGGGTCAGAAATGCCACAGGTCATCACAGTGTTGCTGAAACTTCCACGACCAGAGCCATACTGAGTACCCTCCTTCTCCTTGTTCCTGAGCAGCGGGAGAACCTGCCTCCTTCCAGCCACTGCTGCTCTTTGTCTTACAAACAGATGGACCGTCTGTGCGGAGGAGGTTGACATCCCCAAAAAGGCTGACTTAAGTCCCAAGAGGAGAGTGGTGTCTCTTCCTAGGACTTGGGGCTGTGTCCCTTCTGCTGTCAGGTGCCACAGCGTTGTCACCTGTTGTGGACTGTTATATTTAATTGTGATATATGCATCACATGAAACACACCGCGCTCCCCATGTTTAAGTGTGCGTCCCGGGCATAAGCACACTCCTGTGCCGTGCAGCCATCTCCGCCATCCAGCCGCAGAACCTGTTCATCTTCCCCAACTGAAGCTCTGGCCCCGTTCAGCCCAACTCCCCACCCCTCAGCCCCGGGCACCCGCCCTTCTACTGCCCGTCCCCCAGGAGTTCACGGCTCTCCTGTGAGGCCCCTCGCAGGAGTGGAATCCTACAGTGCCGGCCTCTCTGTGACTGGCTCCTTTCACTGAGTCCCATGTCCTCGAGGGTCAGCCGTGTGGGAGCCCGTCTCAGAATGGCCTTCGTTTTCTTGGCGTGCATGGCCCATATGATATTAACATATTCATCCGTCGATGGACACAGGCTGCTTCCACCTTTTGGTCTTGCTTTTTTTTTTTTTTTTGAGTCAGAGTCTCAGTCTGTCGCCCAGGCTGGAGTTCAGTGGTGCCATCTCAGCTCACTACAGCTTCTGCCTCCCTGGTTCAAGTGATTCTCCTGCCTCAGCCTCCTGAGTAACTGGGATTACAGGCACCTGCCACCACGCCCGGCTAATTTTTATAGTTTCAGTAGAGACAGGATTTCACCATGTTAGCCAGGCTGGTCTTGAACTCCTGACCTCCAGTGACCCACCTGCTTTGGCCTCCTAAGGTGCCGGGATTACAGGCATGAGCTACCATGCCCGGCCCCTAAATGCTTTTTAATGATTGTTTCTGAGCTTGGGGTCTGCAGGAGCACACAAGTCACGGACCCCAGCAAGCAAATGTGCATTTCTGAAGTATTTGTTTTTCACCCAGAGCCCAGGGTGAGACAGTTCTGCTTCCTGAGTCAGGACTCGGAGGGTGTCCAGGCCACCATCTCCTATCTGAGGTTGTAGGCTACAGAGGAGCCTAGGGTTTTGGGGGGCATTCATTGGGGGTGGATGTAGGTCCAGTTCTTGCCTTGACTTGGCCCAAGACCTTGGCCTGTTGGTACCTTGGTTCCCCAGGCAGCAAGCCCTGGCAAGGGTGACTACAGATGCAGCATCTGGCCAATGTCGTGCTGCTTTGCTTACCATTTCCCTTATCATTGGGGCTCCCCCAGAGCACCTGGGGCTCAGTGCTGTGCTGGGAGGGCTCAGAACTCAGAAAAGCCATCACACTCCCAGTTTCAGTTTATTACAAGGAAAGGACACAGGTTACAGTCAGCAAAGGCTCAGGGCGCACAGTGGGGTCCAGGAGAGACCAGATGTGGGCTTCTGTGGCTCCTTGCCCAGGGACTTGTGCAGACACCAGCTGTTTCTCCCAGCAAAGATGTGGGACAGCGTGCACAGAGTCACAACTGGGGAAGCTCACCCCAGCTGTGGTGGCCAGGGTTTCTGCTGGGGGTGGGTCATGTAGGCATGGAGTGCCTGTGTAGCCAACCCTGGTCACTTGGGCCGCAGCCACCAGAGGTTCAGCTGGGACTCTGTGGCCCAGGGCCTTCACCATAAATGATGTGGTTAGCACAGGCCACTTGGCCGTCCAGTAAACCGATGCTCGCGCCGGGCAGGATTTTCTAGGGGCCTAGATGTTATCCTCCAGGAGCCGGGCAGAGGCCAGACCTGCCTTTGGAAGGTGCAGGGTGTGGACCCTGGCCCATGGCATGGCTCTGGGCTTCAGCCCTCCTGCCATGGGCCCCAAAGATGATATCCTTTGCCATCTTACGAGTGCTCCTGCGTGTGGTGGTTCAGGTGTCTGGTCCTGGTGTGGAGCGGGTCCATGTGCTCCCCAGGGGCTGGGTTCGGGTGGGCGTGGGGTCCAGGTACTTAGCTTGCCTGTGGCTGCACAGGGACTGCCATCCTCTCTTGCCAGCATCCCCAGAGACCCTGGACCTGAGGGAGTCCCAGGCAGGAGGCAGGAGCCTGTGCTCTGGGCCCAGCTGTGTTACCAATTCCCTGCACAACCCTGGACAGGTCCCCTCCTGTCTGGGTCAGAGGATCACCAAGGCCTGTTCCATCTGGAATGTTCTCGGCTTTGTAAAGTGATTGGCCTCAACAGGCTGGAACTGAACTGGCTTTGCAGAAGAGCTACCATCTTCCTGGATAGCCAAGTCCCTGTGCCCCTCCCGTGCCCATGAAATGTGATTCTGTGCTTAGTGATTGGTGCCTTGTTTAACACAGGGAGTCTAACTGGAACCTGTTTTCCTTCTTCTTTCTAGGTATTTAGTGACGACCTTACCAAGCCAATCATTGATAATATTGTGTCTGATCTCATTCAGATTTATACCATGGACACAGAAATCCCCTAAGGCCCTGGCCCAGGCCTGCCCAAAGAGAAGCCCAGGATGGTCAGCTGCCTGGGGACACTGCCAGCACGTCGCCATGATGGCTGGTCCCCAGAGGACCAGCTGGGAGGACTGGTTGTGCTGCTGGAGAAGGGCTGGTGAAGGCGATGACACGCTGCCACTTTGACAGTACCTAGCAGTCGCGGTCCAGCTGATGATGGGAGCCGCGCCTCCAGCGGGCAGGCCGGGAGCGCACTGTGTGCAGCTGACCCAAGGCAGCCACATCTGCTTTGTCCTTTGAGAGGACTCTGACTGCAATAGAGGCATGATGTCAATGAAAGGAAAACCATGAAATAGATGAGACAGAATCCCTAGGGATTTTTTTAAAACCAGATTTATAGCGAGAATGAATGTGCAACAAGGATGAAATTTATTTTGTGTAATAAAATGTGATACTAATCAACAGACCCTTGGCTTTGCTCTGTTTCCCTTGGAGTGCTCTCAGGTAGAGTGGCCCGGCTATCAGGCGGCAGGCCTGGGGTTACGGGGGATCACTTGCATTCAGAAAAGCGAGACCTGATCGAACGTAACTAAAAGTAATGCATTTTTTTTTTTTTTTTTTTTTTTTTTTTTTTAAGTAATGCATTTTTAAATGTCAAGGCAGCTAGTCTGGATGGGGAGGCTGTAGAAACTCAGAACTGATTCCCTGCTCAAAAGCAGGTGGGTGAAAAATAGACCAGGAGGCGTACTCTGGAACCCCTCAGGCTAGACATATGTTCAGCATGTGGTGTAGGGCCAGGGACTGGTGTACACAGGGTGGATTCCGGCGCCTGCAGGTGTGGGGGCTGGGGTGATGCAGGCCAGGGCAGAGGCCTGCTGGACTTTACAGAGTGACTGTTCAGTGTCCTCAGGGTGAAGAATCCGAGCAGATGTCACAGGCCTCCCTGGTGGGCAGGCTTGCTGCGGCTGACCTGGCCTTTGTTGTGGGTTTTCATGATTAACTTCTCTTTAGTGTGGGCTCCGGCTTTACCTGTTGTCAGCTTTTTAGGACTAATCAGTCACAGACCACATTTATTGAGCAGCCCTTGTGTGCCCCATCCTTACCTAAGCTCTGGCAGCCAGGCGAAACAAAATGAGGATGTGTAGTGTGGGGGTGAAAAGGGCTCAGAAGAATTAATACGGTAAAAATTGCCCTGATGGCTGGCCATGGTGGCTCACACCTGTAATCCCAGCACTTTTTGGGAGGCCGACATGGGCGGACTGCTTGAGGTTAGAAGTTTGAGACCAGCCTGGACAACATGGTGACCCCCCCGTCTCTACTAAAATACAAAAATTAGCCGCAAGTGGGTGGTGGCTGCCTGTCATGCCAGCTACTTGGAGAGGTCGAAGCAGGAGAATCACTTGAATCTGGGAGGCAGAAGTTGCAGTGAGATGAGATTGCACCAGTGTACTCCAGCTTTGGCCACACAGTGAAAATCTGTGCTAAAAAAACAAGGCCCTGCTACCCAAAGCATTGTACAGATTTAATACAGTCCCTATCTAAATTCCCGTGACATTTTTCATAAGTAGAAAAAACATCCTGAAGTTCACATGAAACCACAAATAGTCAAAGCCATCTGGAGGCATCATACTACCTGACTTCCAAATATACTACAACTGGTATAGTAATCAAAACAGCGTGTCACATTAAAGCAGATACATAGACTAATGGAGCAGAATAGAAAGCCCAGAAATGGAAATGCATGCACTGATTTTCAACAAAGGTGCCAAGAAGACACAGTGAGGACAGGACAGTCTCATTAAGAAATGGTGCTGGGGAAATGGGGTATCCACATGCAGAAGAATGAGACCAGACCCCTCCCTCCTACCACACACAGACATCAACTCGAGATGAAATAAAGACTTAAATGCAAAACCTGAAACTAGGAAATGACTGGGAGAAAGCAGGGAAGATGCTTCATGTTGTCGGACTGGGGAAGGGTTTTTTGTTTGTTTTGTTTTGTTTTTTTAGATGGAGTCTTGCTCTGTTGCCAGGCTGGAGTTCAGTGGCACGATCTCAGCTCTCTGCAACCTCCAAACCCCTGTTTTCAAGCAATTCTCCTGCCTCAGCTTCCCGAGTAGCTATTACAGGCACATGCCACCATGCCCAGCTAACTTTTTTTGTCTTTTGCAGTGAGCCAAGATCTCACCACTGCACTCCAGCCTGGGCGACAGAATAACACTAAGTCTCAAAAAAAAAAAAAAAAAAAAAAGAATTACTCTATCATCCAGCACTCCCACAATTGGGTATGTATCCAAAGGAAATGAAATGAGTGTGCGGAAGAGACAAACGCACTCGGATGTTTATTGCAGCGCTGTTCACAATAGCTGAGATACAGAAGCGACCTAAGTGTCCAACAACAGACGAATGGAGACAGAATGCGGGTCCCATTCAGACCTTCACAGCCGGGTGCTCTAATTCCAGAACACACTCTTGTTTGTTGGAATGCTAAATGTATTTCCTTTCTTTTCCTTTTCCTTCCTTCCTTCCTCCCTCATTTCCTTCCTTCCTTCCTTCCTCCTTCCCTCCCTCCCTTCGTACCTCCCTCCCTCCCTCCGTTCCTTCCTTCCCTCCCTCCCTCCCTTCCTTCCTCCTTCCTTCCCTCCCTCCCTTCCTTCCTTCCTCCTTCCTCCCTCCCTCCCTCACTCTCCCTTCTTTTTTTCTTTTCTTTTGCAATCATGGCTCACCACAGCCTTGATGTCTTGGGCTCATTTGACTCTCCCACCTCAGCCTCCTGAGTAGCTGGGACTACAGGTGTGTACCACCATGCCTGGCTAATTTCATTTTTTATTTTTAGTAGAGATGAGGCCTCGCTATGTTGCCCAGGCTGGTCTCAAATTCCTAGACTCAAGCAATCCTCTCACCTTGGCCTCTGAAGGTGCTGGGATTACAGGTGTGAGCCACCATGCCTGGTCTGGAATGGTAAAACGTAAAAGCAATAGGGAACACAGTAATTGCTTGAAAGAACAGGTAATCATTGCGGTGGAGAAAATTCGTGCCCAGTGAGTCCAGATAGGGTCACGTGCTTCGTGTTCACCTCTGGAAGTCCAGGGGACACTATAGGTGTCACTGTAAGCGTATAAGAGCATCTATTTTCTCATCTGAATCTCCAGAAAGAAAGGACTCTGAGGTGGCAGAATTGCAAGCCGGAAACAACTTCTGGAGCCTAACAGAGCCTCCTGCATGCATTGAATTGTGCTGTGGGTGAGAATGAAACTTCTTAATTCAGCTATGGAGAAAAAGAGGAGAGCAACGCCCAAAGCTAAGAGGAGGCCCCGGAACAGAGCGTCCCCTGAAGGCCTTGATTTTGGACTTCTGGCCTTCAGAACTGTGAGAGAAGTTTCTGTTGTTGTGAGCAGCCACAGGACACTCATACACGGCCCTCCCCGAGACCCCTGCACAAGCCTTTACTTCCGGGGCTCAGCTGTTGGGGGACTTGCTCGCCCCAAGCTGTTTCACTGAGCACCGATCTTACCCCATGGTACTGGTGTCATGTTCGATAGCAGAACCTGGTGGGCAGGGAATTCACAGACACGAATTTGCAATTCTTTTGGGATAGCCGGATGTCTCTCCATGAAAGGCCAGCTGTCTTGGCATGGACTTTGGCTTAATCTGGACTCACTCATCTTTATTGTTCAGAATGCACTCGGACACCAGTGCAGCAAGAGCATGCCGCGATTCTTCTGCCTGCTGTTTTCAATGTTTTTTTTTTTTTTTTCTTATAGAATCTCACTCTGTCACCCAGGCTGGAGTGCAGTGATGTGATCTCAGCTCACTGCAACCTCCATCTCCCAAGTTCAAGTGATTCTCCTGCCTTGGCCTCCCAAGTAGCTGAGATTACAGGTGTGTGCCACCACACCTGGCTAATATTTGTGTTTTTAATAAAGACAGGGTTTCACCATGTTGGCCAGGCTGGTCTTGAACTCCTGACCTCAAGTGATCCACCTGCCTCAGCCTCCCAAAGTGTTGGATTACAGGCATGAGCCACTGTGCCCGGCCTGATTTGTCTTTTTGCCGGTTTTAGAAGCATGGACTCTGCTGCTTTGAATAAATTTGAAGCCATTTTTCTCCTCTCTTGGCAGCATTCCTGGAAAATGCATCTTCTGGTGCTGCCAACTTGAGATGGGAAAGAGAAATCCAGTGAACTGTGGGGCTCTGGTCTTAGCGACATCACCAGGGTGGCTATCGGCGGGTCTTGGCTACAGGATTGCCTTCCTGGCTCTTCCGGGCTCAAGCTAGGGTGGGACCACGGGGCGTGGGCATGCACAGGTGCAGTCAATCAAGGATGCAGCATGTATGTGGGCACCGGGGAGGGAGGGCTAAGCAGATCCCCGGCACAGTTAGTGCCTGCAGCATATCTTCGTTCATAGCGTTACTACTCAGCTATTTCCTTTATATAATCCTTTGTATATAATCATGTATTAGTTTATAGTCGGAACAATTAGTGCCTGAAGAATATCTTACTACTCAGTTATTTCCATGCTATATATATTTAAAATTATATCTTATTTCATAGTCAGAGGAAAGCCTAGAGCAGACACGATACAGATCATGAATTAAGGAATAAGCTATACACACATAATCATATCTTGCTTATAGTCGAAGGAATGTCTAGAGCAGACATGGTGCGGAGCATGATTTAAGGGAAAAACAGTTACACCAGGACAAGAATCTATGGCCCAGGTGATAGCGCCTCTGCCTGAAAAGGCATGCGCTACATAGCAGGCTGGCCCAGGCGGCAGCGTTCAGTATCGTAAAGATACCCGCTATATGGCAGGCTTGGAGCAAGAGTCACTCCTCCTGAAAAGGAGTCTCAGTACCTTGCGTCCAGTTCTTGTGGAAAGCTGGCCTCAGGTTGGCAAGCTCTCGAGCGTCCCAGGGCTTTAAACCCCTCCGGTGTAATCACGCCTAGGTGGCTGTATACCTTGTCAGCCCCGCTGCTATGTGCTGATTCAAAGCATCCTCCTACAGAAACCACTGGAAGCTGCTAGCAGGTGGCTGTGGACCCCGTCAGCTCTTCAGCTGCTGTGCTGACTCAAAGCATCCTCCTATAGAATTCCTTAGATGCTGCCTGCCCCTAGATAGGAGATTCGGCACACTGCACCCTCCTCACTGCGCACGGCCCGCCTCCGAGCCCAGGTGACCTCATGGGGGTGGGCCCCTTGTTTATTGCTCATGTGATTATCTTGACCCTATCTCTATCCTTAAGTTGACGTCACTCACTACCCTGCCCCCTAACCTGTACCCAAGAAATACAGACACTCCTGGACATTCAGGGCCTTGCCTGTCTCTGCGCGTAAGTGGCATGTCCCCCGCCCCCGTCCCCGAGCCCAGCTGTGCTTTCTTTGTCCTTCTGTTTTTGCTTCTTTATTTCTCGGATCCAGCACCTTAGCACAGCAATAGGGGACACCCCATGTCCCTGTAGGGTGGGACCCTACACGTGGATTATGGGAATGAGTGAAATGGCAGGATTTCTTCCTGTGGCTTTGGAAGGGAAAATGGTGCAGCTGCCACGCTAGAGTTCCCATGGGATCCAGCAATTCCACTGCTGGGTATAGGCCCAAAGGAATGGAAGGCAAGGTTGGAAGGGTGGTTTGCATACCCATGTTCACCGAAGCAGGATCCACAATAGCTGAAACGTGGAAGCAACCTAAATGTCCAGTGATAGCTGATTGCATAAGCAAAATGTGGTATATCCAGACAATGGAGTAGGATTCACCTTCAAAAGGAAATTCTGGCACACACTCCACCGTAGATGACCCCTGCGGACTCCATGCTAGCCACTGAAGGGCAAATACTATAGGATTCCAATTCTATGAGGGGCCTGGAGTGGTCAGATCCATAGAGACAGACAGGAGAAGGAAGGGTGGGTGCCCGGGGCTGAGGCGTGGGGAGTTGGGCTGAACGGGGCCAGAGCTTCAGTTGGGGGAAGATGAACAGGTTCTGCGGCTGGATGGCAGAGATGGCTGCACGGCACAGGAGTGTGCTTATGCCCGGGACGCACACTTAAACATGGGGAGCGCGGTGTGTTTTACGAGATGTGTATTTTGCCACAATAAAAGAAGTGAGGAGTGTGCAATGTGTGTCAGGGAGCCTCAAACTCCTGCGCCCAAGGGATCCTTCCGCCTCAGCTTCCGAAAGTGCTGGGATTACTGGCCCGAGCTGTCGAGTCCAGACAGCCCTGACTCCTGCAGCAGCTGGAGCGCCTCCGCCCGGGGGCCTAGCACCCTAGCATCCAGCCGGGCTGCTGCACACCCAGGGGAAACCCCCTCTTGCCTGTGGCTTCTCCAGCTCTGTTAAAACGGCTCGAAGGCGCCTTTGTTTTGTTCCGCACAGGAATTCCCCAAATAATAAATCACACGTGTTATCCAGACCAGGATATGGGAGACTTTCATTTTTTTTTTTATACACACAGAAATTTTGGTCTATTCTTTAACTTAGGAAATTCAACTACGGAGTTTAAAGTATTATGCATCTGTGATCTTTCTCATTAAAGATTTTTTTTCCATCTTTATAACAGGCAGATAAAAATGTAAAACATATTTATGAACTCAACACAGTTGACCAAGCCATTCCAGGTAACAGAATGCTTTGTAAGGAGGGGCTTCCCAGTGAGACAGGGCCCCCGGTCTGAAGATGATGCCTCATTTCTGAACCCCACATCCTAGCACAAAGGTGACCTAGGGACTGAACAGTCGAAATTTACATAGGCAACTTTCTACAGCAGCAGTGAGGGTTTGCTTTTAATAGCTATTGGCCATTGGTCCTATCGGTGTGTCTACGGCAGAGAATGAGAAGAAGCCCGTGAGTGCAGCAGCACGCGCTTCATCTTCTGCAATTTCAACGTCTCGAATTTTATTTCTCGTTGAAGAACACAAAGATCCTTTTTCTTACTATCGTTTCAACAAGGACATCAAGGAGCAGTTTAAAAATGGGTAACATTCTCAGTGTGCCCTTTAGGAAAGAAGGATGGCTTTGAGTTATCTGCAGCTGGCATTTTCAGGTGGGATTTTCCTTTCTAACTGAAATTCTTTCGCCCGAGATTTGACTCCTCCTGCTCAGGGGTGACATGGCATTAATGGTAATAGTGGGAACGGTGGAGGTGAGACAAGCCTCCCGAAGGTGCCAGTCCATGTCGGTGGCTTCCATTCCAACCTCTGTCCCTCAGCTTCCAGCTGTCTCCCAGCGGCTGAGCCCCAGGCCCAACCACCTCCCTGCAAAACGTGACAGCTGCAAGTCCCGAGGGCAAGGGTCCTCCATGGCGTCACTGTGGGTGTGGCTTCCTCAGGACGGTGCCCTCCTTTACTCCCTCTGCCTTCTCTGTACTTCCCTCCCAAGTGATTGCTCATTTGGGGGAAACTGAGGCTTGGCCCGTCAGGTGCCCACACTGCAAGGATAGGCTCCCGTCAGGACCTGGTGCTCAGCTACAAATCCATGCCTTCAGGGCTGAAGCTTGGCCTCTGGATGCGAGGAGCAGGGTGGAAAGAGTGCTTTGGTGGCGGCGCCTCTGGTGTAACAGCAGACACTGAGGTGGTCTAGTGAGCACTCCTCAGCATTTGCCAGAGCAAACAGTGGGAGTCCATCTGGGTGCCAAGTGGACAGGGTCAGCTCCTCCGGGCTTCTGAGGGCCCGTCTCCCTCCACTGGCTTCTTTTGAACTCCTGGCCCTGCACCTGGCCCCTCGGACCTGTGCTCAGCTGGGGCGCTCCCTGGACTCTGGGCAGGACCCGCACCTCCAAGAGTGCTTCGTGCTCTTGAAGTTGGGGGAGTGACCAGGATGAAGGAGGTGGAATTGGAGAAACCAAAGAAAGCTGAAAACAAAACTCCCCTTTCACTAACTGAAGGGCTCCTTTTAGGTAAGAACTTCCATTGAAAGGGTTTTCTTCTCTCTGGCAGGGGTCTCAGTGCTCCAGACCTGGAGCGTCCCCTCTCCGCCTTCTCCTTGGGAATCTCAGTAGGGCCGGGCAGAGGGCAGGAGCGAAGGGTGGGAGTGGGTCATGAAGAATGAAAATGGATTGACCAGATATTCTTGCAGTCTAGTTCTCTGGAAAAAAAAAAAAACCTTACTACATTCAATAATAAAATTTCCAAATGAAAATGCCTGATAAGAGGAATATAAATATCATGCCAATAAATAGTTCCTTATGGAAATATGCATCTGGTCATATATATGTGCCTGTGTACAGATCCACACACATACATATATGTGCGCACACACACACACACACATGCACACTGCAGGTGTGCCTAGTTTTTGCCAGGGACGGGTTGCTTTGTGGCTGCAGGGATGCTTGCAGGCGGCGCCCTCGGGTGGCACCCTTCACAGCCCTGCAGAGCACTCAACTTTTTTTTTTGCACGAATATGTTGATCTGATTTCTCCCGAATGGGTGCAACAAAAGCTCCCAATAAACCCAAACCAGCCCCTGCCCACCGCATACACGCAGTGGAACTGAGTTCGTTAAAAAAGAAGCATCAATAGAAAAAAGGTGGGGAACTCAGCTCTTCGCTTCCTACTTCTCCTTCCTCCTTTGGATGAAGAACCTTCTCCTCCCCCTTCTTGTCTTCCCCTTCCTCTTTTTCCTCCACCCTGGCCTCCACTTCCCCCGTCCTGGTGAGGAGGCTGTGGCAGGCTGCACCCTTGTTGAATGGATTTGGCTTCTCGCAAATGCCCTGCCAGCAGGCTCTTCAGCCACCTTAGCTGTTCCCCCGTTTTGCAGGTGTGCGGGTCGCTATCTGTGTGTGCGTGCGTGTGTGCGTGTGACTGCGTGTGAGTCCGAGTGTGCATGTGTGCATGTGCTGAGACAAGTTCTCATTAGAGGGCCGTCTCCACGCTGTGGAGCGAGCTCCCGGGACTGGAGGGAGACACTGAAGAGGTAGCTGACTTGGTGACATGCGTGGTCAGGTAGATGCCGCTGTCTATGGCGTTGTTGTTCTGGTTGGGGGACGGGGGCGGGGGGGCCCGGAGGCGCTCCTCGTTCTCGTCCACGTCCGTGTCATCGATGAGCGGGATGTTGTGGGTATAGTCGTTAATCAGAAACTCAGGCGTGGCCATGAAGTTGTGAATGGAGGTCTTGGATTCTGGTTTCTCCAGGCCTTCATAGAGTGAGCTACGGAACGCTTTCACTACCCGGATCTGGAGTGGGAGGCGGAGGGACAGAGTGTGAGCAGAGAGGGAAGAAAGGAAGGGAAAGGAAGGGAAAGGTGGAATGAAGGAAGGAAGGAAGGAGGGAAGGAAGGAAGGAAAGAGATAGTCAGTGGCTGGCTGGTGCTGGCAAGTTCCACCCACATCAATGGCTGGGGGTCATGGCATGAGAAATGTCCACCCGTTGCTTGGAGGCTGCTCTGCCTGGCTTTGGAAAGGGTTTTCAGGTGTGGGCCTTGGTCTGGTCAACTGATTCACATGCAGGAAAAGGTGGCAGTGGCTTTCTCTGGGCTGAGCTGGGCAGACATTCTGGAACTCAAGAGTGCTGCACTAGGCTCTGGGCTGCAACCTCCCAATTCCCTGTCCTGGGGGGACAACTGGCTTTGGTGGCTTCTGGGGTCTCTGCCCAATCTGAATTCCAATTTGGTCGAAAAGAAAGATGATTTGAACAGAAGAGAACGCTGGTGAGGGGCTCTCTGCTCGATTTTACCAGAAAGTCCGAAGTAGCTTCTGGTATGAGCAAGGCCCCAGCTTATGGGCACCGCCCGGCTTTCTCTAATGGGTCTTCCTTCAGGGACCCGGCCTCCATCCCCAGCTCCCATGGCCGGAGCTGGGACCTGCCATGCCCAGAGTCTCCCTGTGGCTGACTCCACTGGCCACTTCTCTATCTTTGTCTTATTCTATCCCTCAGGTCGCTCAACACAGCTGATCATCCCTCTTTCTGGAAACTTCTCATGGCTTCCTGACGTTGCCCCTGCCGGGCCCTCTTCCGCCTCACCAGCCGCTCCAGCTCCATCTCCTCCACTGCTCTCTTATGTCCCTGGGTGCCCCAGAGCTCTGACCTGGCCCTGTCCCTGTCCCTCCTCCTCTCTGTCCATACTTCTCCGCCCTGGCCACAGTACTCAGAACTCTGAGATCAAGAATGGCCACACTTTGGATTTGCACCCACTGAAGCCTGTCTCTGCTCAGATGCCTCTGTGGCCTCCTCACAGCCCCCGAGTCTGGTTGAGTCTGTTTGAATCTGATGCTCCTGCTCCTCTGGCCTCTCTACCCCGTCCTCTCCTTTCCCTCGTCCTCCTCCATCTCCCAGTCAGACAGTCTGAAACTTGCATCTCTGCCGCTCCCCCCGCCCCCCACCCGCCACACACACCCTGGGCTTTGCTCTGTGTTGTTCCCTGGCCATCCCTTTCCACGGCAGTTTGCAGAGCTCAGATCAGTGGAACTCCCTGCAGGAAAGAGCTCCTGCCGTGCCCAGACTCCCCGACCACAGTGGCCCTCTACCCTCAGCTGAGTTCACGGCACCTCTGAAGCCCCCTGACTGGCCGGCAGGGCACTGAGCCAAGAATGAGCCCTTCCTTCCTCTGGCTTCTCCACCCTGCCTCATGCACGCAAGTCCATGCTGCCTCTCTTTGCTCCCTGGCCTCTCAGCCTGGACTCCCTCCCGCTTTTAGAACCCAAGAGTTGATGGGGAGGCCTCCACCTGGCCTTACACAGGCCAGCATCGGCCCAGCCACCAATGGTAGCTGGCCCACCTTGTACTGCCATCCCTGTAGAGGACAGCAGATGGAGCGCCAAGCTGCCAGGCGGACCCTGGGGTTCATCCAGCACCTGCCTGTCCCTCCCTATGTGAGCGGGTGGACGCAGGAGTTCTGAAGCATTTCCGGGGCCAAGGTTCTAGCTAGGATTTGGTTTTCTGGATTTAGATGAGCTGTCAGGGCTTGCTCCTGGGCTAACCCCAGCTCTGTGCCAGTTTTGGTTAATAAAGTTTGACTGGTTCAAGTTTCATGCTGTAACAGCAAAGTTGTGTCACGGCAGCAGAGACCAGGCCTGGAAAGCTAAAAATATTTCCTCTCTGGCCTTGTACAGGAAAAGTTAGCCACTCCTTAGTTTAGACAATGAATCACTCTCTTTGGTGACTTCCTTTGAGCCGTCCGGGGGCTGGACCCTGCGGCTAACCACTCAGCTAGGCCAAGCACAGCGCTCCTGAATCAACTGAAACAATGCCAACCTCATCCCCTTTCCAGTGCAAAAAGTCAGCCAGGACCGGGTGCCGTGGCTCTCCAGCCTGTAATCCAGCACTTCTGGAGGCTGAGGTGGGCCGAACGCTTGAGACCAGAAGTTCGAGACCAGCCTGGGCAACAGAGTGAGATACCCCACCCGGTTGCTATTTAAAATAAAAAAAAGTGAGCAAAAAGCTCCACAAAATTGGAATTTTCTAGCACCTTCTCTGAAATCTAGTTAGGACTTTCTCTGGATTTGGGAAAGCCACCTCTGCCAGATGGCAGATGGTCAGCTCTTTTCACTCAGGCCTTTATCCCTGGACTGCTGTCTGAATTAGAGGTAACACAGAAATTGAGAATCATTTACATTTTTAATGAAAAGAAACATAATTCAGTTTTCGCCTCATTCTTTAGGCCTTTTCTGGTACAGGACGGTAGTGTGGAAGCATCTGGGGCATCGCCTACTCCAGCTGGTGCTCATGCCCATCAAGTCACAGAAAGGACAGAAAGCTGCAGGCCTCGACCCCAGGGCTGTGTAGGGTGAGGTTGCTGGCACCAGGTGACCTTGACCACACCCTTTTCCTCGCTGAGGGGCCTCACTGCACCAGGCTCAACTCCGCAAAGGGCAGCCAGGCCACGGAGCCAACCCTTCCTTCCAGGCCTGGCTTCTGCTGCTCCAGCGTGCCCTTCCTGGATGGCATCTGCCTTGTTTGCTGCTTAACACCAGAGCCTGGCCCGGAGCAGCTGCTCAGCAGACACTTGGGGAATGTGCAAGTGACAGAGTGAGCCGCTGCAGGACGGTAGGGCTGCCCTCAACATTCTGCTGTTGGGGATGCTCAGCTTGGCTGGCGTCTAGGTGAGTCTGTTACAGCTGACAGTGAGCAGCTTTCTCCAGGCTCTGTGTTCCCTGGATTCTAATCCTGAGCTATTAAACAATGTTTCAGCATTAGTCTTACGGACTGTTTTCAGCCCATCCAACACTGAAGGATGCAGTGAATTTCAATAGAAAGCAGCAAACGTTTCTAAGAGAGGTCCATCCAGAGGGCTGGACTCCTCCTACCTGGTGCTCAAGGATGCCCCATGGCCCTGGGCCTCCTTCCCCCAGCCTGGGCTCCCCTGCCATCTTTTTAGGCTCCTGAATCACCTCCTGCTCTGCTCCCAGCCCAGGATGCCCGTCCCCCCGCCCCACCACCGCTACTGCTCCCAAAGGAATCTCATGGCCTCCAAGGCTGTCAAAGCTGTCTGCAGGCCATCAGGCCGCTGTAAATACTGCAGCTGCCAGCTGTATTACCGCCACCTTTTCCCAGACTGCCAGACTCCCACCCTGACTGCCTCCCAGGTGTCTCCCTTCGGATACCTAAGGGACCTCTCAAATTGTGGGAGGCCCGAGGGGGACTCTTATCAGTGCCCTGGCTGAACTCTGTCCACCAGCAGCCTTCCCATCCCAGTGACCCCCTGACCCAATTGCCAGACATCCGTGCGTCCTGTGGGACTGACCCTAACTCAGAAGCATCTTCCACATCCAACTCTCCCCACCTCCACTGCTGCTGCCTGGGGTACCCCACCAGCAGAGCCCTCCGTCCTGCCTGTCCTTCTCCGGGTGGAGTTTCTGAGCTCTCTCTGGCTGCCGAGCTCTCTCTGCTGCTCCCCCATCTGGCTCCAACCCTTCCAGTAGGCAGCAGAACTGGCCCACACGTCCTGACTGTGGGGAAGTTCATTGAACTGGAACCGGCAAAGCCTGTTTTACTGCAGGACAATTTAAAAAGAAAAGAAATGAAAGCACTCTCAGGAAAGATGGCCCTAGGGGTATGGCCGAGGCACCCACGAAGGCTGAGGAGGGTCAGCTTGGGCTGGGGGACTCCCTACCTACTCTGGGTGAGGCCCTCCTGTGGTCTCCCTCTGCCACGCTTCTGTGGTCCCCACAATCCTCCAGCCTTTCTCCTCTCCCATCCCCTGACACCCGAGGACCCCTCCTCTGGGTCTATGTAGTTTCTTCTGGCCCTCAGCCTTCCACTCCACCTGATGACTGACAGCCTCTTGGCTCCAGCTCCAGACTTGGGCGTAGAAGCCGAGTCTCAAACTGAGCAGGCCCGACCCCCTGGCCCCAGCCGCGCAGATCCCTTCAAACGCCATCCAGAACCTGCACTTCGTGCCCACCCTTCCCTGCCCTTAGCATGGCGGTACAAAAGCCAGAGCGTGTTTGGTCTCCCCCACGGGAAGCCCTCGGGGCCTGCCCCAGCCTCTCTGGCTCTGCCCTCTTTCACCCCTCAGCGTCCAGCACATCCCACCTCGGGGCCTTTGCTCCGTCTGCACCCCACACCAGGAAGGCTCCCCCGCAGCCCGGTGCCTACTTCTCCTTCCTTTCACCGGAAGAGAATCCCCCTGGGGCAGGGGTCTGTCTGTCTGAGTTGCTGCACCCAGCAGGGTCTCAATAGACGGGGCTGAATGTCTGGGGCCCACATGGCCTGGCACCAGTCTTCTGTGCTGGCCTCGGCCCTCCCCATGGCTTTCCACCCACTCCGTGATGCCCAGCTGGCTGGTGCTATTCCTTAATGCACCAAGCAGGGGCTCCCCAGAGCCATGGCCCCTGCCCTTTCTGCTGCCTGGCTGGGCTTCCTTCCTCTGAACTTAGCTCAAGTACCCATCCTTAGAGAGGCTGTCCCAGTTTGTTACCAGCTGCCCAGAGGACACACGCCGGGTGCTGTTGGCTTGACCCAGGCTCCCGATCTGCGTGGATGAGCAGTTCTGAGCCTTACACAGGGCGAGGGACGATGCAGACTGACAAGGGCCATCCCTGGCCACGCTGAGCCAAAGCAGAAGGGTTGTGGGTATGGAATGCCATGTGCGATGCCGCTGCTAGCCGGTTGGAGTGGAGGTGCCTGCCATGTGCATGGGGAGACGTGCCCCTGCTTAGCCTTCAAGTGATGGAGTTGGCAGTGCAGGGCCAGGGAGGAGGGTGAGGGTGGAGAAGGGCCGGGGAAGCAGGGTGACAAGCAAAGGCCTGGGGACGCCTGCCCTTCCAAGAAGAGTGGAAAAAAGGAAAGGAAGAGAGAACAGTCAAGCAAAGACTCCCGAACCACAGCGACAAAAGAAACCACAGAAGCTGTGCCTGGCGCCTTCTCACTTCCTTCTAATTCCTCAAGCGGAAACAAACCCCATCCTGCTGCTGCTGTGCTGGGCACCCGCGGGCCCAGGGGCTCCACACTCTGCTCAGTCTCAATCGCTACGGCTCACAGAGCTCAGATACTTCTGGTCAGTTTCTTCCCTGCCTGTCCACTGCTTGGCAACAGACACTGGTCCAGAGCCTTCCTTCAGAGGCAGGGACCTGTCAGCTCCCCAGGCATCTGAGCTTTGAATTTAGAGCAGATTCTGAGCACAGCAGCCAGGGAGACCCATGGGGAGCTGCTCGCCAGGAACTTTAGGGTTTCAGGCCCAAAACAACCCCTGTAGGCGTGAAGGTGAATCGCAACTTGAAAGTGACACAAAAGTGTCCTCAAGAGTTTGTAGTGATACGAACCATCAATCAACTCGGGCAATGAGAATCCAAGCTCAGATAGCCTGAACACTGGCGAGAAGATGGCTTCGGTCTCGCTTTTCTACGTGGAGGAAGAGCAAGGGGAAGGCCCCTGTCTCCCTCAGGGGGATGTCACATGCTTGAATTAGGAAAAATGGAAATGCAAACTCCACAGCTGGCTCTTTCCCCAAAGAATTGAAGCAAAGAATGGAAACGACAGACATGGGTCTGCGAGTGCTGGCAAGTTTCAGGAAAATTACCTCCCGCCCTGTGTACACACTCATGCCCTGGACTGTGTGAGCCTCGATCTGTGCTCCTGACATCAGCACTGAGCAGCTGAACTGACCTGGGCGCGATGAATCCCAGGCCTGTCGGGTGGTCAGACTGAAGAGGACCCAGGAGGAAGGCGAGTCCAGCTGCGGGACCTCCTGATGGGGAGGGCCTGGGACCAGGAGTTCTGGGATCTGCCCTAGGCTGTGTTCTGGTGTCTACTTTAGGAATTGCCTGGAAGGGCATTCCCCTGTGGTAGAGCCCAGGGTTCCAGGAAAACCTGGGGCAGGGCAGGCTCTTGGGGAGAGCTGCTACTGTTTCCACTCCAGCAGCGAGCATCTCACACAGGCCCGGTGTGGGCGCTGCAGGAAGAATGCGTGGCTGGGGTTTGTCTGTACGTCCCAGTGGAAAACAGACGTAAAAGAAAGACCTCTCGAGTGGCTTTGGTAGGGCTTTCCAAATGACCCGCACCCTCCCGTCCCTCCTGGGGGCTGACACGCAGCCCCCTGAGCCTGCTGCCCTTAGTAGACCCCAGCAGCTGAACCCCCCTCTCTGGCCAGCTCTCTCGAATATGGACACCCCATCGGGAGAGGGATGCTGCGGCCTTGGTGTGTGTGTGGTTGGGGCATGGTGCGGGTGGGCAGGCTGGGCAGGCGAGGGGCACTGGAGGCTGTCCGGAAGCCGGGAGTGAGGTCATGGCTGGCGCAGTCTGACAATGCAGGCAGAGGAGGGGCGGGCCTGTGTTGGGACTCCTGAGTCTGGAAGCAGCAAAAGCGTGGGAGGCTAGACAGGGTGGGGAGGGCTGGAATGTGTGAGCCCTGAGCCCCAGCGATCCTGCATCTCTGGACTCCTAGTCACCCTCTTGCTACTTCCTACATTGGCCCCAGGGGCACAGGGTGAGGGGATGTCATGGTACCAACCCCTGGCCCTTCTCCCTGGAGGGCCTGAGGCCCTTAGTGGGAAAGGCTGTGGATGGAGGCAGCACCAGTGCCCAGAAAGGCCCCAGACTCCCGGTGGGCTGAAAGGTAGCCTGGCTTGGAGCCGGCAAAGAGGATGGGAAACCACGAGACTCGAAGACCCTGCAGGCCTAGTTGGGGCAGCCCTCTTGTCTAGGGGAGCTCTGTCACGGCCTTCGGGGCATCTCCCATCCACCAGAAAGTTCCAAGGACAGGGTGGGCGCTGGTGCTAGTCCCCACTCTGCTGGGCCTGGCTGCCCCTCCTTCCCCTGATCTCTAGGATGAGGGTGCCGGGCTTGGTGATGTCTTGGGGTCCTTGAGGCATGGAGTGGGGGTTGGGTTCTGAGTTCTAAACCAATCCGCTGCACCGTGATGATGGCGGGAGGCGGTTTTGGCAGGAGGTGGTTTTGGCGGGAGGTGGTTTTGGCGGGTGGTGGTTTTGGCGGGTGGTGGTTTTGGCGGGTGGCTTCCAGAAGCAGGCACGTCCTTGGTGTTGCCAGGTCCCTAGCCAGCATCTTCCTCCACGGCAGAGTCCTTTGTGGGGTACTGATGTTCAGCTGGGATGGGCGTTTTAGGTCGGCCTTTGTCGGGCAGGACATCAGGACTCCTGTGACTTTACAGCAGCACCCGCCTTCTGCTGAAGCACACAGCGTGCAAGGGACAGCTGCCCTCCTCTGGCTATCTGCCACTTAGGGCCCCCATGGAATAGCTTCTGAGCATCAGGAGGGGTGGCTTCTCTCCCACTGTACTTACCCGGCACTGCCAGGCTCCAGAGGTGGGGAGAAGGGGAACAGATGGCCACGGGACGAAGGCAGGAAGGACGTGCTAGGAGCCAAGGAAGAGAGGAGAGAGAGGCCGCCCCGGGGAGGAAGTGGGGGGAATCCAGAGGGAGAAGAGACAGCAGGCCCCGCTGCAGGGCTGGGCTGGACCTGGAGAAGGGCGAGGAGCTGGCCCTGGGGTGGGATGAGGCCAGAGCTGTGAAGGCTGGAGGAACGCGTACAGTGGGGCCATGGTGGCTGCCTTCCCCTTAACTCAACAAATGGGCAGATGGACAGACAGACAGGAAGCACAGAGAAAGATGGCAAAGCAACATATGGAGGAAGTCAAGGGGGAGGGAGGCAGGGGCACAGCCATGCCCCAAGCTGCCCCTCAGCTCCCAGGAAGGAAGGTGCTGGGAGGCTACGAACCATTTCCGTCATTAACTCACTTGGCGGACCCTCCTGTTGGCCTCTTAGGTGGAGTGGCGGTGAGGCCCCCGTGGGCCCACGTCTGGGGCACTGGGGATGCTGGCTGCTTCAGCCCAACCACCATGGTGTCGGCCAATATTTGTGACCCGGGTAGGTGGCCCCGTGATGAGTGTGGAGCAAGCTGGAGGTGTGAGTGGCCTGTGGCTTGGAGGAGTGTGTGTGTGTGTGTGTGTGTGTGTGTGTGTGTGTGTGTCTGAGCGCATGTGCTCTGTTCCCAAGGGGGACAGGACAGCCCTCCTCCCTTCCTTTAAGAGCAAAGTGGCCCAAAACGACAGCTTATGCGAGAGGAGGGGTGACCCACACCAGGGACCTCTCACCAGTTCCTAAAAAAAAAGTAAAAAATAAAAAAAAGAAAAGAAGAAGAGGAAAAGAAAAGAAATCAAGCTGGAAGAGTCTGTGATGGAAGAAGGCGTGGTTAAGGTCTGCAGGGGGTGGCGTGTTCATGTTGGCAGAGGGGAGCGCTTCGGGGGCTCGCTAGAAGGAAAGGAAAGAGGTACCGTAGAACCATCCTGGCAAGGCTCTGGGCCCACGCGCGAACATTTACTGCTTGGTGTGTAAAGTCTCTTGGGTTTGTTGGAAGGAGCAGGCCGCGTGGCTGGGCCCACTGGGTTCCCTGCGTTCTCTCTCACCAGGGGGGTATGGTCAGCGGTAGAGTGGCCTTTCCTTTGTCTTTGTAAAAATATGTGAGCAATTATGGAACTTTCTACCGCCTTAGGATAGCCCCTGGGTTCTCTTTAAAATGTGACCAACGTGGTGGGAACTTTTCATGGCACCCTCTCAAAGGGAAGTGGTTTCTCTCGGTTTCTCAGAGGAAAGAGAGGAGAGTGTGTGGGTTAAGGATTGGGCTAAAGCCTGACCCCGAGGCTCCTGGGCACGCTGCCGGCGCAATGACTCTGCAGGGGTCATTGGCTACCACTGAGCCCACCTGGGGACAGGCGACAGCGGGATCCTTAGGAAACCAACTCAAGGAAGATGCTGGAAGCGGCCGCCCCAGTTCCTGGATAGGTGGCCTGGATCCTTCCACGGCAAACAGTGCGGGAAAGGCACCTACCACCCCTGCAGCCCTGGGAAAGCGGCCCTGAGCCCACGCGCTGCCCTGACGCTGCACCACTGAACACCAAGCAAGGCCCCGGCCTGACCCCAGACACCTCCAGAAACGGCCCAAGTTCATGAAGAACCGTCGGCAAAGGCAGACAGGTTCAAGAAAGGAAAACCAATGGCACAAGGAGCACTGAACACAAACCAAACACCAAAGAAAGCAAAGAACAGGAGGTCCGGAGTGCCGTGCGTTGGATACATTTCATAAAAGAATATGGCTTTTGAGAGACACCGTCTGGGCGGGAAGGACTGGACAGGGCGGTAAAGAAAGAACAGAAAAGCCACGGTGAGCGGGAGGCAAGACTGGAAAAGAGAGAGGCCGAGCTGGGGAGGCTTATTCTTCCCCAGAGATGCCATTTATGGGAGAAAAGGGAAGTCAAGACTCACTCCCAGCAGCACTGGTGGGATTGGCAGCAGAGAGAATTACGTGAGTAGGGCTAGAAAGATTGGTTACGTCATGGAGCTGGCTGAGGACCGAGGACCGCCGGCGCACAGCACCCTGCAATGAAGCGCTTCTCTTGAAGGTACTCACTACCTCCATCTGTGGGAGAGAAAATGAGATAAAGTGTGGCTTGCACTGTTGTCCAGGCTACTGCGGGGGGGAGGACACATAGGGCGACAGCAAAGCGTCACTGGGTCACCCCGCTCACTGGGAGCTGGCGATGTTTGGACAGGGCCCCGACCGAGGCTGGCCTCTGTGCCACCCACCGAGAGAGGGATTGCTGAGCAGATGGTTAGTGGTCATGAGATCGGGAAGGGAAGGGGTCACGAGTTGGGGGCAGACAGCAAACATCTCAGAAATGCCCCTTGCAAGCCACTCGTCAGGAAGCACTTCGTAGTTCTCAACGGTTTTTTTTTTTTCCGCCCCAACACACCTGAGGGACAGGACACGCTCCTACCAGAACCGGCCCTGCTTCCTCTAAACCCTGAGGGTTTGTGCCTCACGCTCTGTCTGCCTGCCCGTCTCTGCTAGCTTCTGCGGCTCATTGCAGTGACTTGGCGGGGCGCGCCCTCCAAACCTCAGTAGCGGAATGGACCCGGCAGGAGGGGGCATTTTCCCACTGACCGGCCGGCATGGCTTCGCTTTTTCCCCACTCTGACAGCTTTCTACAAGTTGAAGGGGAAGCGAGGCTCGGGAAACTGAGGCCCACAAGAGGACCTTGACCCAGTGTCTTTGGATTTCCTGACCTGCCCTTGGCTGGCATGGGAACTCGTGTCCATCTGGCTGGAGGTGATGTGAACAGCAAAGACAGTGTGTGCATCTGGAGCCCAAAGCTACCTGCTCCAGCCCGAGCCCTGCAGTGGCTACATGGTGGCCACCAGGTTCAGCTAGGTGTCTTGACGTGGGCCACGGCTTCGTGCAAGAAGGCAGCTTGAATATTCAGACTACCCCCGTAACTGAGCAAAATGAGGATGTCCTCCACTTCAACCCTTGACGCGCTTCAGAAAGGACTCCTCCTTCTTCTCAGCCTGCCCAGTCCCCTTCTGGCCAGCACATCCCACTTCCTCGCTTGTGACAGGGGAACCTCGTGGTGCTGGCTGCAACTGTGAGGAATGCATACTGAGTGGATCAGCGCACGGAAGGAAGATGGTTGATGTGACGGTGTCGCGGTGGCTTGGGGCGGTCTCCTGTCTAGATTCAGGAAAGGACTCTCACTGCCGCAAAAGTGAAGAGGGACGGGAAAGATGCCTTTCCTGCCTCAGGTTTGTGCTGGCCTGGCCTGGCTACAGATGGTGTCCCGGTGGGAGAGCCACATCAGTGACAATACCGCAGTTGCCACCACCCCATACCCAGAAGCCCAACAGCTGGGCCAGGAGCAAGGCCCAGTCGCTGGTGAAGCTTCTCTTTGGGTCATAATGGGTGCAAAAAAGACAGACCGAGTCATGAGCGCTTCAAACAGCTACATGTTGTGGGTTTGAAGGACTCTTTTATTCTGGAAGGCACCCTGTCCGCCTGGTGCGTTGATGTGTTAGTGTGGAACGGTGGTGCGAGCAGGTAGCAGCTTACAAAATGCCTTCACTCAGCAACGTCAAAGCGTGTGCCAGCCTCCAAAATCTGGGGAGCGATTTTGGGGTTCATAAAATGCAGAAATCTGGGGCCAGCTGCCTAGGAAATGCTTTCCTTGCCTTCAGACATATGTACAACCTGATGGGCTTTTCCTTTAGCTCCATTTTTTTTCCAGCAGGTATTTGGAATCAAAGAGAGCAGATGCTCTTTCACAGTTGGCTAACAGAACTGACTGGTTTGGCATTCCTGAGAAACACGGTGAGTTGCATGTGACAAAGTCGAAGCGAAAAGCCTTGGGGATCAGGAGCCAAGGGGAAAGGAGTGCGTCCTGCTCCCAGGGTCGCCGTTTCCTCAGAGGCAAAGTAGGGCGTCACCAGCCCGTGTCTCTCTAGGCACTGACAATTGGAACAGCCTGGAACTCTAAGACTAACCAATGGCTCCCACATACAGAGGACACGAGACACATAGGTGGCCAGGGTACTACTGATGCCACCGGACACTTCAGATCCGGGCAGGGTTGCTGTCTCAGCTGCTGGAAAAGCTAATGTTGCCTTTGGCTGCATTGGCAAAAGTGAAGCCTGCTGTCCACACCCCCAACTCCAGGCTTAGGCAGCTCTGGGCTCTGTAGCACAACAGGGGTGTGACAGATAAGAGCCCAACTGGGGGCAGCTGGGGGGCTCATAGGCATGGTCTAGTAGAAGGCACAGTTGAACTGCTAGGAGGGAATTGGGGGAGACGGATGCTGCTTCTAACATTTGATGTGTTGTAAATTTAGCACAGAAATATGTATTTCGGGGAACGAGAAAAGGCTGTTTGTAGTGCAGCCCTGGCCTATCCGGGCACTGGGCTTGAGGCATTAGCCCTTGCACTTGGGAGGGAGATGCAGTCCAGCTGGCTACAAAGCCGGCTCTCCTTCCTCGCCGGGGCTGTCTGTGTTCCGGCCAGGCCAGGGGGTAGATAACAGTGCTGAGTCCGAACCTAAGACACCCTTCTCAGGCTGCGCTGTGTGAGGTGCCTCGGATGCCAGCCCCACTTCCCAGTTCTCAGATTTAAATGTGAAGTTCTCCTGTGCCCCGACCTAGCCCTGCATGATCGTGATCTCTGGGGTAGGCCTGGGGACTCTGTAGCTCTGGAAAGTTCGGCAGGAACTCTGACATGCCCCAACTCGAGTGCCCTGGGCTGGCAGCACAGGTAGCCCGTGGTGGGAGTGGAGTCAGAGCGGGCTTTGTAAGCATGAGGGCCCCAGGAGGCGCGTGGGAGTTGTGGAGATGCAGTGCACAGGCGGCCAGGGGTGCAGGGGTGCAGGAGGACGGGTTGACATCGAGAGGCAGGAGCCTGGACTTCATCCTTAGAACAATGGACACAGGCTCCACCAGTTGCACTGCAGAGGGCGGCGTTGCAGGGGCTGAGTGGAGGCAAGGCAAGCAAGGGAGGCTGCGGCCTGGGGGATGGGGCTGCCCTGAGGCTGGGCCCTTGATACCCCTGGGAGGGAACAGGACCCAGGGCACCGAGAGGAGTCTTGGGCAAGTTGCATGGATGATTCTTTGGGACAAGCCCTTGGTGATGTGTGACAGACCCTGGGAAGGGCTGTGGCCTCAGGCCCTACCTAGATAGACTCCTGATGGACGCCCAGCCAGGTGTTCCCGCTTCGCCTGGGGCTGGTGGCTTAGGCGGGCCCTGGCTGCGAGGCCAAGTGCGCAGGACCCCAGGGAGGACTGGGGGTCTGGGACAGAGGCTGAAGGGGCAGGGAGCGACGGCTGTGACCTGAGAGACGGTGGCCCAGGCCTTGCAGGAGGAGGTGGAGTGTGAAGCATGCTGGGTGGCCCTCTGGAGGCTGCTGGGGGAAGGGCAGGCCGTGAAGGAGAGGCGGCTGTGGGAGAGGGGCGTGGCTCTTCCTTCCTCCCCGGCCAGGACTTTCAGCGCTCAGGGGCCACAGCAGGGTAGGGCAAGGGCTGAGCAGGAGGTGGGGGTGCCAGGCGGGTGAGGACAGCAAGTCTCCAGGCAGTGCCCACAGCAGGCAGGAGCGATGCAGGGATAGCCCGACCTCAGGAGCCGGAGGGGAGCCTTGCAGACCTAGGCGCGCGCCGTTTCTGGGGAGTGGTGGGCAGAGGCCGGGCTGCAGTGGGATCACAAGAGAGGTCCAGGGAGGGGTGTGGAGACACAGCGAGTCTGGAACGTTCTGGCAAGGAGGTTGGCTGGGAGGACATGGGGACAAGGGAGTGGGGTAGCTCTGGCAAGTGCCCGCTGCTGGCGGCAGTGGTGACCACCTGACTTCAGGAGAGAACCCAGCTGACGGCCTTGGTCTTGGCCGACCCTAATGGTAGGAGATTTGGATGAACAGAAAGGACCAACTAGGTGGCCAGAGTCCACATCCCAAATGAAGCCTCCCCATCGCATTTATGGTGTCATCCAGTCAACCTTGAGCTCGCTGGTGGCTGTTTGAAACGGGCCTGTCTTCCCGAGAATGTCACTTGCCCATGATCTGGGGCGGTTCCCGCCAAGTAAAGGGAGCCCCCGCAGTGATGAGGACAGCGCTGTCCCGTGCCTCTGAGAGAGCCATTAGTCACCCCCACACACCTTTAGCTACAGGGGACACCTGCGCTCTGAAGGAGGTGTCAGGGAAAGGCGACCTCAGTGCCACAGCCATCAGTGGGCACATCCTGGAATGGCAAAGGGGACACCAGCAGCTGCTTTTGTGACCTTAGCAGCAAGACCAAAGGGCTTCCCTGTGGGTGTTGGGTGCAGACAGCCGCTCTCGGCTGCCGCTGCCAACTTGCCTCTAGCATCTCGGGATGAAAGCGCCCGGGCAAGAGCGAGGTGGGGCTTACCTGAGTCTGAATCCGGTTCAGGCCCCGGAACCAGAGGATCTGGCCCCTGCGGAGCTCCCGCTCGGCGTGGTCGATCTCTTCCTCGCCTTCGGCAAGCTCCTCGTCTGTCATCTCATCCTTCCCCGGCCCGTGCCCAGCTTCCTTCAGGCACTTGAGCTGGCTGGTGGGGATGGTGGCAATGACCTGGGGAAGCCACACGGAGATGGCTGTGAGAGCCAGGCTGAGCTGCATCTGCCTGGCGTCAAGGTCCCCTCTGCAGAGGGAGACGCCAGCCTCCTTCCTCCAAAGGATGTCATTTGTTTTTTGTGATTAAGCAAAGGGAGTAAAGGTACAGCAGCCCCCATCTCTGTCCCCCAGGAACTCGCAGCCCCTGGGGAACTGGTGTAGTGTTCCCCGGGGGTGGGGGGGGACTGAGGCACATTTTCAGGAGTATGTGGAGCTCTGGGCCCACTCCTCCTCCACGGAGTCCCATTCAGCCAAAGGGCCCAGGAGTCGAGCACTGTGCAGCAAGGGCTCCTAGGAGAGATCGCTAAGCCCCGGGAACATCCTGCCTGAAAGCAGCATGGCTTACTGGGGCCGGGGGCTGGGGGCCGTGCCCTGTACTCTACACAAACAGCCGGGCCTCCGGAAGGCTGGAGATGGAGGCCAGCCACGTGAGCACAGCATGGCTCTGTGAACCACCCCAAGAAAAGCTGTGGACATCAGGGCTGGGTGAGCTGCCTTGGTTGACAATACTCCCTGCATGTTGCTCCACACCGTTGCTGGGAGACACACCTGGAGCTCTGGCCTAGTCTCTCCTGGAGAGGGCATCTCCTGGGGTAAGACCTGTGCATCGGGGGAAGGTGGGAAGTGACAAGGAGGGTGGCAGCTGGAAAGGCAGGAGTGAAGAGAGGGCCACTTCCCAGTAGCTTTGCATATTGCAGGCCCCTGGGAAGTGGGGGGAACAGTCTAGAAGGACGCAGGGGAAGCTGTAGAAAGGGAGTTCTAGAATAAGACGTCCCGTCTGTCTGGTGTGTCTGAGCCAGTGTCCTTCTTGAACGTGACCAGGTGGGGACTTGAGGACTGGTTCACAGACATTCCCTTCTGTTAGTTTTTCACTTGAAGATGCTTTATCTTTGTAATTGAACAAGGTTAAAAATGAAAAAGACAAGCTGGTAACCCAGAGAGGCTGAGCTACGGGCTGGTGCCATGTTCCTGGGGGGAAATGTAGGCCAGTGGCCTGGGAGCTTGAAGGTCAAGAAGCGGGCGTGGCACCCCCTTGGGCTGTGGTTAAAGTCCACGTTTGGGAAGTGAAGGGACTCCGTGGAGAGACCAGATTCTAGTGTGATTGGGAGGTGAGGTGCAGTAGCGGAGGAAAAGGAGAATTCTTAAATGAGGCAGAGGAATTGGGAGGACTGTCCCTGAGGACACTAATGCTGGGGTGGGCAAGAAGGCTGGCATCTATAGCAGCTGCAGCAGCCCCTGTGGTCAGCAGCCAGAACCAGCAGATCAAAAACACTTTGGGAGGCGGAGGCAGGCAGATCACTTGAGGTCAGGAGTTCAAGGGCAACGTGGCAAAACCCCGTCTCTACAAAAAATACAAAAATCAGTCTGGTGTGGTGGAATGTGGGAGGCTGAGATAGGAGGGTCACTTGGGCCTGGGAGTTTGAGGCAACAGAACAAGACCCTGTCTCAAAAAAAAAAAAAAAGAAAGAAAAAGAAACAAAAGCTGGAATGTGCTCCCGAGTTCATGGTGCCCAGCGTGGCTGGATCTGGAGTAAGGAAGTGATCAAGGTTCATTAAGGTCACCAAGGTAGGGCCCTGATCCTACTGCATTAGTGCTCCTAAGAAAGGAGGCACCAGAGACCCTGTTCCATCTCTCCACCACATGAGCACAGATTGAGGAGGCGGCTGTCTGCAAGCCAGGAAGGAACCCTCACCAGGAACCGGCCCTCTGGCTCCCTGGTCTCAGATGTCCAGCCTCCGGGACTTTGAGAAACTAAGTGTCTGTTGTCCAAGGCTCCCAGTCTATGGAGCCGATGAAGATGGAGTAAGTGAATCCTAAACACCCAGGCTGTTTCTTCCTGATCTGACTGTAGGATCCCAGAGACTCCCGGTGTGCGGCTTCAGCTGCAGCTCACAGAGCTGGATGTGGGGCTCGCTGTCCTTTCCAGCAGAACAAAAGATTTCCTAATTTCTCTCGAGATTTTCCCTTCAGACTTTGTCTTCACCCCATGGCTTATTGACCAGGGTGCTGTTTGATTGATTTAAAATATGTAGGAATTCCCCAAGCTACCCACCCAGTTTGAAGGGACAATTTTTGACTCTTATCATGGAAAGGGGAGCTATGGGCAGTTTTCCTGGGCCACGTCACATCCCGGCCATGTTCCTTTGCATTCTTTTGCTGACACCATCCCTTGTGGCCTGTCCCTGGGTCCTGGTGTGTCAGAGGCCTGAGGACACAGTATGCTTCCTGGGCTGTGGACCCCAAGGCTCTGGAGCAGGGTTAGGGCCGTGGGGCCATCACAGAAGCTGTCTGTAGGGCAGTCTGGAATGAGGGGCAGGGCTGTCACTCACCTGTCCCCAGACCAGCTCCCCAACACCAACAAACAGGCACCAGAGCCACTGTTCCGTGGACAGCGGGGAGCAGCTGAAGGGCTTCCCGCCAAACTGGACGATAACAATCTACAGAGGGCAGGTGAGAGAGAGAGGCAGGTCCAGCCGCAGCTCCCCAGCCACCCTTGTCCTCCAGTGCCTTGAAGGCCCAGCCACCCTGGTCAGTTCCCCCAGGCACACAGGCTGCTCCCTTGAGAGGACCACAAGGCCAGGGGTGCTGTGACACCAGGCCTGCGGGCACACCGGACACGCCTCATTTTGGAGGACCCTAGAACCTGCTGGTCACCCTGCCTTGGCCTCCTGCCTCCTTGGGAGGCATCCAATTCTCAGGGGCAAGCTTTCCAGATGCAAACACCCTGTCCCCCGTTGGACTGTAGCAGTCCCTGCCACTATCTTCCTGCCTTCAGTACCCAGGGCCAGGTACCAGACAAGCGGGAGTGCCCCATGCCCTAGAACTGCTGCAATGACACAGCCTACCCAGTCCTGAGCCTACCAGCCACCCCGCCTCACCCACTTGTCCCCGAAGGAACCACGGCACAGGCTCTTGTCCACAGCTTCCACACCCTGGCTCCTGCCTGGCGCTCTACCACGCGGGATCTGTGAGTCATAAACTGTCTTTCAGTGGCAACCGTCTCCTGACCTATTGGCCTTACTATACCTCAATTTTTCTACAAATAGACATGGGGGCTGAGCAGCCTGTCCACAGCCCTGTGGGAAGCAGAGGTTAGTGTGTCAGCACTGATCACAGAGGGCATCTGCAAAAGAACCTTCTGGAGCTATGGCAGCCTCGTGCCAAGGAATTAAGTACTAGGAATGGGAATGGCGGACCTAGAGGGGGCCAGGGAGGACTCCTTCCAGGACCTGTGAGAAAAGTTAGCTCTGATGAAGGCTCATGAAAACCTTTTGAAAACCAGGGGGCTAACGCAGGGCAAGGCCAGTGAGATTTGGAAGATGAAGAAGGCCCGCTCCACCATGCAGAGAGGACCGGGGGCCACAGGAAAGCCAGATGGGGTGGGGCTGCTTCTGGGAGTGGAGGTGCAGAGGCCGTACCTGGATCCCGAAGGTGCCCAGGACGATGGTGCAGAAGATGGGGTTGCTGAAGATCCCGTCGAAGACGTTCCTCTCGCCGTGGATCTTGCGGGCGTTGATCTCGTTGCAGAGCTGCATGAGGACGAAGGTGTTGAAGATGATGGTGTAATGCTCTGAGGGGGGCGAGTGCAGCGGTGCGTTCCTCCCGCTGTCGATGTCGAAGAAGAGCTCTCCTGGAAGGTGGGGGCGCCTGCATGAGGGAGCAGCCCCCACGGGGGCCGGGCAACACTCCCCACTCAGGCACAGCCATCTCAGTGCGTGACGCATCACTCAGGAGCAAGACCACAATGTGCAGCTGCTGAGAGGGGTCTCTTGTCCCAGGGGACGGCCAATTCCAGCTCACAGACAAGGCCACAGACAAGACAGCCAGACTACAGGCTCAACCGACCAGAGTCCTGAGACCCTATCAGGCCAGGGACAGACCCAGGGGTGGTGTCCCTGAGCCTGAGGGCCGAAGGAAGAGGTTAAGAAGGGATGCTCTTAAGCTGGCTTTCCTCAGGTGCCCTCCTCCTCCCTCTCTCTCTCATGGTCCCCCTGGTCCCACAGCTTCCAGCACAGCACCTCTGTCACTCCGTGGGAGCAATCGTCACGGGGTAACTGTGGGCTGTGCTGTTCCTAGGGTTACCGTGGCCACTCTGGGGCTAGGTAGAGGCTGGGAGCCGGAAGTCAAGACATAAACTGTTTCTCAGCTGCTCAGGGGCCTGGGAGGAGAGGCTGAGAAAGAGCTGCAGGCTCCCAGCAGGCCTCGCTGGAGGGTTGCTGGCCTGGCCCATTTGCTCCTTCCCCTGGGTGTTGTCCAGTCAAGAACTGCATCGTCCCACCCCGTACTGGGCCCGGGGACACAGGTGGAGGGACACCAGACAGAATCTGAGCCCGAGGTGCTGGCCACAGTGTCCCGAAGGCCTCCTGCGTGCCCCTGGCCAGCCTACCGACAAAGAGCAGGGTGAAGATGATGGTGAGCTGATACGCGGCGTGGCCCAGGATATTCTTCATCATGGTGCGGGAGATGAGGGGCTTGTCGCGGCCATATGGCTTTCGCAGCAGCAGCGACTCTGTGGGAGGCTCCGTTGCCAGGGCCAGAGAGGCAAAGGTGTCCATGATCAAGTTCACCCACAACATCTGCACGGCTTTGAGAGGAGAGTCCTACGGAGAGGAGGCGTTCACCTTTCCGTGGGCCGCCCGCCTGGGAAGGCCAGGGGTGGAAACCCAGTCACGCCTGGGGGAAAACTCCTTGTGGGGGCCACATCACTGGGATTTCACGCCCATGAAAACAGATATCTCCTTTAGGCTAGCGGGGTGTTTTCTCTGGGCTGTCACACGCCCGCCTCCCTTCTCTCACCTGGTGGCAGTGATCTAGAAGGTGTGCTCCAAATCCCTCGCAGGAGGTGAAAAAGCCCAGACCACAAAACAGCCTGACGATGGGGTCTGCCATTTGGGGCAACAGAGTGAGGGCTGCTCGCCTTGTCTCCTGCACCCCAGGAGGAGGAGGAGGCAGAAACTCTGAGCTGGACCTTTCTTCTCAGCTCCTCTGAGTTGTTGGTTAAAAATCAGCCTCACAGAAGCCAGACACACAAGGCCACGTACTGTCTGATTCCATTCATAGGAAACTTCCAGAACTGACAAATCCACAGAGAGAGAAAGCAGATGAGTGGGTGTCAGGGGCTGGGGGACAGGGAGTAGAGAGTGACTGCTCATGGGGACAGGGTATCATTTTGGGGTGAAGAGAGTGTTCCGGGAAGACAGTGGCAATGGTTGCGACACTGTGGAGGGAGATAAACCTCTGAGTTATGGACGTTCAAAAGGTAAAAATGGTTCTGGTGAAGTTTGTTATGTGATTTTTGTCTCAGTTAAAAAAGAATATTTGAAAAGATGAAGTCGATCAGCAACAAACGGGTATTTTTTTGCACCCCCTTTCTAAGGGGGGGGCAGCGAAGAAAATCTAGACACTCACCCGTGAGGAAAATGGGACTATTGAGAAAGCATTCCCATGGGACACATAGCCCACACAGAAACTCATACACAGATGTTCCTGGCAGCACCGTTCACAAGCGCTAAAAAGTAGGAACGAGTTACGGGTTCATCAGGACAGACACACGGCGACAGTCTATACCACGGAGTGATCTGAGGCCATGAAAAGGCAGGAAAAATATGATGCTAAGCCAGATGCCAGACATGAGGCCACATATTATCTGATCCCATCGGAATGAAAAGTCTGGAACAGGCAAATCCATAGACCCAGGAAGCCCGTGAGTGGTGGCCTAGGGCTGGGATGTTTGGGGGCAATGGGGAAGTGACTGCTCAGGAGCACAGGGTTTCTTTTATTTAAGATGATGACAATCTTCTGGAGCTAGATAGAGGCAATGGTGAATGTCCTCAAAATTCGAGTGTTGAATTGTTTACTCAAAAACGGTGAATTTTTGGCATGTGAATTTGATCTCAATTAAAATAATCTGCAGCAATGAAAACAAAACCCTCACTCTTATAATCTGGCCCTCAGGCCTGAGTCCAGGTGTCCTAGCCGGGGCACGGCAGCCCTTAGTGCCTACCTGAGTAATGCAGGCGCCTGTGAAGGCCACGATCACGGCCACCACGTTGACTGTCAGTTGGAACTGCAGGAACTTGGAGATGCTGTCATAGACGTTCCGGCCCCACATGACTGCCTTGACGATGCTGGTGAAGTTGTCATCGGTCAGGATGATGTCAGAGGCCTCCTTGGCCACGTCGGTCCCTGCGATGCCCTGATGGGTGATACACACACTCACACACATAGCGTATTTGGGGGGTCCTTTCCCCAGCCCCCCTGGATCACCTGGCCCACCTGGGCTGGCTCCCTGCCCGTCCCTTCTGAATAACATCCCACCCCTCCCCTGCAAAGCCGAGAACAGGACTGATTTTTGTCTCACACATTCTTATACTACACACAGTAAGTTGTCACATGTCATGGTGAGGGGGGCTTTCCTCATAAACACAGAGGGTACTGATGACATGGCATCAACACAGCTTTACACATAAAGGCCAGCTGCCGCCAGGTGGCCACCAACCAGCCTGGTTTGTTCTTAGCACTCCAGAGAGGCTTGCTGTGTAAGGCACGCTGGAAAGTCCTGCAGGGGACACCCTGGGCAGGCACAGTTGCAGCCGTGACAAGCTGCTCAGCTCTCTTCCCCACCCCAGGTCTGGCCGGTGAGAGCCACTATCTCGTGAAGCTTGCGCTGGAGCTCCGCTCTGGGCTACAGGTGCCGGGAAGGACGGGGCTGGGTTCCCCAGGTGGCCTACCGAAAAAGGAGCCCAGCCTCTTGTGGGGCCGCAAGCAGCCATGTGGGTGGCGCCTCCAGGGCTACCCTGCTCAGTGGGTGAGTAACAGGAAGGAAGTACAGAGGAAAAGCACATTTGGGGACCCTGCTCACCTCATCTGGGGCTGAGAGCCCATCAGTGATGAGACCCCGCCACCACTCTCCTTCCTCTCCACAGTACATCTCATCTAGGGCCCGCTATCACCTTGGGCATCACAACAGATGCCTTTGAACACGTGTTCCCTGACTGGCAGAGCCCACACAGGCCCAGGTGGCCCGGATGTGAGAGAAAGAACCTTCGGTCGCTCTGTAAGCTGCCCCAACACTGGCTCCTACTTCCTGGTATAAAGCTAAAGTCCATGGGGCACACACAGGCCCCATCTGCCGTGGTGAGTTGGGATGCCAACTGGGTGGTTTACCATGGCAAAGCCTACGTCCGCCTTCTTGAGGGCCGGCCCATCGTTGGTGCCATCCCCAGTCACGGCCACCACCTGCCGCTGCTCGCCACTGGTGCTGTCAATAATCCCTGGAAGACAGATCGGGGCAGGGCAGGGCTGGGCCCATCTGTCAACACATCCCTGTGAAGCCCTGCCCAGGGAGCTATGGGGGCAGGTTGGCCGTGAAAACCCTTTGGGATTGCACACGTGCTGACTGTCCCAATTATCTGTGCTCACTATCACCGGGACCATCTCCTATCCCCAAATAAGCAACCAAGTCTCACTGAGTCACAGGGCCAGGGTGGGAGGATGGGGACTGGGGGCTGACTGGTTAAGGCCTGGGGACATGATCCCGGGTCCCTGGCTCTACACCCAATGCTTCTAGAGAAAGGCTATGTGACTTGGAGTGAGTCACTGGCCCTCTCTGAACCCCTGTTCCCTCATGGGCCCCAGCCCTGCTGCTCCGGGCTAATGGGACAAATGGACCCAGCTTCTTAGGCAGGCCCTGTGGACCTGTTTGGGAACCTGACTTTTGGCATCAGGGAGCGGACAACCTCAGGCCGACCACCCCAGGAAGGTGTGGGAGCTCTGCTACCTTTGACCAGAGTGTGCTTGTCGGTGGGAGACGACCGGGCCAGCACCCTCAGCTTGGGCCACACCTTGTCCAGCCGCTCCTGTTCTATCTGGGGAGGGGAAGCACAGGACGCTGCAGAGCTAGGGCGGGCACGCGGGGGCAGGGAGGAAAGGGGGTCGGGGGCGGCAGACAGCTGGGTGCTACCTCGCCTTTCTCGTTGCGGATCCGCCGGTTGAACTCTTTCCCTTCCAGGCACAGGAAGTCCTCCCCAGGCTGGATGATGCCACATTTGGCCGCAATGGCCCGGGCAGTGTTGATGTTGTCCCCAGTCACCATGCGAACTGTGATACCAGCACGCTGGCATTTTCGGATAGCTTCAGGGACCTGGAAGAGACAAGAGAGGTGGGTGGGGCCATCGAGGCAAGACATCTTTTGTGTCGAGTCAGTAGCCCTTCCTCTATCAGATCTGCAGGCAGCGCAAGGTCCGGCAGAGGTGACAGTAAAGCCAAACCATGGGTCCCCATGCAGGGTCCCTGTGGAGGCATGGGCCCAGAGGAGGCCCAGCGGGTGGTGGGGCTGTCTTGCCCCAGCCAAACTACAGTGAGTGGGTGATTTCTCCTTCACCATGCCAGGCCCTGGGGACCAGTGATGACAGACCGAGGCCCTGGGGAGCATCAGATTCACATCTGGAAGAGTCACCTGGGTCAACCTCATTTTCCAGCTGGAAAACAGACCCAGGGCTGCTGATCTGGGGTTAGCTTGGGTTATGGACAGGCTGGCTGGGGCCATGTTAGCCCTAAGGAAGAAGGAGGAGGGGCCTCGCACCCTCAGCCACCTCCAGGGCTCCCACCTGGACTCCTTTCTCACTTGCCTCTATAGCCTTTTTTTTTTTTTTTTTTTAAACAATATAAAACCTAAGACATTTTTCTCAGGAGTTAATGTTTTTCCTAGAGTTGTAGGTTTTGTAGGATAATGTATCTCACTCCAAAACGTGGTCTTGGTTGTGTAGCACACATTTCAGTTTTCAAACGCAGATGCTCCTCAGTTTACGATGGGATTAGGTCCCGATGAACCCACGATACGTTGAAAATACCATAAGTCAAAGATGCATCTAATACACCTAAGCTGCTAGACATAGCCTAGCCCGCCTTACACGTGCTCCGAACACGTGTTAGCCTACGGTGGCGCGAAAGCATTGAACACAAAGCCTCATCTGGAATACGGTGTTGGTTTTCTCACGTGTCACTGAGGACTGCAGTAAAAGGGGGAAACAGAATGCTTGTATGGGACTCGAAGCAAAATTTCTGCTGAATGCGCAGAACTTCTGCACCAAGTTCAAACATTGGTAAAAGTTGGGGACCGCCTGCACCATATGAGAGTCGGGAAAAACAGAAAGAGAAAGAGGTTCGCCAGTGCTGAGTGGAAGACGAACAGCCTGCAAAGGGTTGAGAACAGGAAGCCAGGAGACCGGCTGGGAGATGGTGGCATTGTCCCAGTGATGGAGGGACAGGGAAGACAGGTCCCAAATGAAGAGATACGTGGCTCTTCTGGCTTGGGGACAGAGAGACAGGGTCAGGCAGCTGACGCCACTGAGGTGGAGGGGCAGGGAAGCCAGGTTCAGGATTTGGGAACGTGAATGAGGAGGTCAGGCCTAGGCAGTGCGCCTTGTGAACTCCGCTGGGTGAGTGCAGAAGCCCTGGGGGGACAGTCGCTGAGCCGAGGAGGAGAGAGCCTGAGAGTGGGGGTGTCCCAGGTGTGGCCAAGCCCGCAGGCCGAGGGAGCCTGGGGCAGGTGGGGTAGACACACAGGGGCAGGGAAGGACAGAGACCTGGGAGCCCCACATGCTGGCAGCCCTTGAGGCCATGGGCAGGGGGCTGTGATCTCTGCCACGGTGAGAGCTGGGGCCCCACTTCAGGCTGTGGCAGGGCGATCCAATGATCCCTGCAGCAAATCCCACCAGGTGGACCGGAAGGACGAGCCTTGGGGTGAGTCCCTTGCTGCCAGCCTTGGGGACACTTTCTACTCTCTGAGGCTCCTGGGGTGCTGGATAAGATCATGAGCCACAGGAAGACAACTTTCCATTGGGCGAGTGAATTCCTGTACTGAACCGTCTGGAAGCCACCCCTCTGCTGCCACCAAGTGGCCGTGACGAGCCTCAAAACCTGCAGCTGTGAACCCAGGCCTGCCGCCTCCTCAGGCCAGATGTGTGTGGCCCTGTTCCTTCCCCAAGGCCTCAAAGGGCCAGGCCAAGCTGTCCTTTCTCGCCTGCTCAGCCTTCTCCCCAAGGCCCCACAGCACGCAGCCAGCCAGGTGCCTGGAGAAGTTGCCAGTGCCCCCGGCTGGCCCAGCTCCGGATTCATTACCTCCCCAGCGGCATGTTTCCTGTGGCCCCCCAGGGCCCAGCCCCGAGGGCCCTCTTCTGGCTGCAGCCCTCCCGCACCTCCAAGCGCCCTGGCAAGTTTCAGTGATGCCCCGTGCCCTCCTGCCTGTTGTCGGCACCCAGGACTTTGCTGGCCAGTCTCTGTGAGGGTCTTCCCGGCGTCCTCAGCCTGGCCCTGTTGCTGTGTTCTGCCACTTGGACTCTCTCTCAACCACTCTCAAGCCAGAAAGGAGCTGTCCCTGCTCCTCAGGCCCCTCTGGCAAGACTCCCTCTTCTGCTCTGTGCGTCAGTTTCTCTCTGGTCCAACAGAGGCACTCGATGGCTCCTGAAGGGAGAGGCTTCCCCGCCTTTCCCGAGCTGTGGCCTTGCTTCACCTCACTGGCACCCTCTCCTTTTGCTCTCCCAGGCCCAGTGGGGCCCAGGACTCATGCCCCTGCCTGCCTTTGCAGGGCCCATTTCCTTGGCTGGACCTCTGTCCCTGTCCTCTGCTACCACCCATTTCCACTAGGGCAGGCTCAAGGTGCTCCCTCTCCAGACGTTGTGACCATGTTCTCGGGACGCAGGGCTGCTTTGTTGACAGTACCCATGGCTGGCATTTAGATTCACTGTCTTTGAATTGAGTGCCTCTGCTATGTGATCCAATACATGAATCCCTGTCTCTCGAAGGAGTGTCCCGAAGCTTCTGCTCCGGGGTTGCACCTGCATGCCCCAGGGTGGCTCCTGACATACAAGGTCTCAGGCTAATCAGCAGGATCAGAGTGGCCCTGCTTCTCCCTGGGGAGACAGAGGGGTACCTCCACGCCTCGCACGCTCCCTCCGGGGCCTGCTATCCTCCAGGCTTTCCAGGCTCTGCCATCTTTCAACAGCAAAGTGACTTCGCAGCATCAAAGCCATGGCTAGCCTGACCTGTGCACTTTCATTCTGCTCTTGCATCTGCCACGTGACCCTTGAGGCCCCCCCTTGTCTGCACTCCCCTGGTGGCATCGTTCATATGGAGATATGCTTCTGGGCTCCCTCTCCCACCGGGACCTTTGCTGTGAGCTCTTTACGGGACGTCCTGCCCTTCAAGTGGCCAAAGCCAAATCCTCAACTAGTAAATGCCTATCCTGTCCCTCAAACCTGTGTCCCTCGGGCTTCAGCTCTACCTCCAGTTCATCCATCCTGAGGGGACCAGATCCCAAATGTTGAAGGTCTCTCTGACACTGTCACCCTCTCAGCTGGAATAAGGTAGAGCCTGAGCTGGACCACCCAGGACCTGTGCGGATGCCAGGGTGACAGCACCAGGACGGGGCACAAGTGTACTGCGGAGGGACCACAGTGGCTATGTGTGAAGAAAGGCTCCCCCCACCAGTCCGGACAAGCTCGGGCAGACGGCACAGTTACCAGGGCAGCTCACAGAGAAGGCGGTGGCTACCTCGGGTCGCACAGGGTCCTCAATGCCCACGACAGCTATGCAGGTGAGGTCACCCACGACCTCATTCTCATTGTCCCAGTCGGGTTCCTGGCCTGCAGGGAAGTCCCGGTACGCGATGCAGATGGTGCGGAGACCGTCACAAGCCATCGGCTCGATGATCTTCCTCACCACGTCGTCCCGGTCCCGAGGCCGAAAGCTGCGGAGTTCACCATTGCTGTTTAAGATGTTGGTGCACCTAGGTGGGGGTGGGCGGAGACAAGGTGGAGGCGGGGAGAGAACAACAGGAAACAGCGCTGGTCACACTGGATTGGGAGCTTAGCCCAGGACTGGGTCCTATCGAGAGGACAGCCCCATGTGAGAACACAGACTCGCAGGGAGAAGACCATGTGACCACATGCAGAGACTGGAGAGGGGCAGCTGGAAGCTGAGGAACATGAGGACTGGTGGCCACCACTGGAAGCTGGAGGAGGCAGGACACATTCTCCCCGAGGTGCCCTGGAAGCGCTGAAGCCCTGCCCATGTGCCCTGCTTTTGGACTTCTGGCCTCCAGAACTGGGGCAGAATCCATTTCTGCTGCTTGAAGCCCCCGGATACTCATGAACTGCTGCAGGCTGAGAGACCGGGAGGCGGGCAGGAGCACATGGCTCATGGCAGCACCGCCACAGATTCCATGGGGCGAGGGCATGGACCACGGGCAAAAAGTGAACTTAGTGGACAATCGCTGTCACCGAGTCCAGGCAGCCACAGTCTCATTAGAGCCCTCATGACTCCAGGAGCTTCTCAAAAGGGACAGGACTGGGAGGATTCAGGTGGGGAGAGGAGGGAGCAAAGGAGCCGAGGGCCACAGAGGTGGGCACGGTGGAAGGAGCCAGTGGGGCTGTGAGTGCCAGGTGCTGCCACTGCATGGAACGCTGGTGATCAAGGAAATGATGTAACAGAAGCTGTGCGGATGAAGGGCCTCCTACGGATGTGGATTCACCCATGGAATTCTCACGCCCCTTCCCAGAGGTAAGTATCCTGTGACCTCCATGCCACAGGGGAGACTGAGGCATGGGAGTAGGGGGCAGTAACTCGCTCACGTATACACAGCCAGCAGAGTGAAGCTGGGCTGGGCCTTTTATTGACAGTCCCTCTGTGAATCCCAGTGCCCGCCAAAGGAGAAGCTCGAAAGAGGGCTGAAGCCCCCGCAGCAGCAGGGATGGCTCTGGGGAGGCGGGGGCCCTGGCCCTGGTGGGGAACGCTGTGCCTGGCAGAGTTCTGGGAGAGTGCTGTGGGTAGGGAGGCCAGGCAGGATGCACTTGGTGGTCCAGTCTGCTGAAAGCAGAAAGAAGGGTGATCCCGGGCCTTTGGGGAGCCCTGGATGTCCTGCAGAGGGCCCTGTCCTGAGGGCCCTGGGAGGACAGCCATGAGGAGCCAGGTGGGTGGGGGACAGAGAGGCCAAGGCCAAGAGTGTGGAGTCCAGGAATGCTGAGTGGGCATGGGGACGCCAGGGCACCTGGAGGTGAAGCTGTGCATGCTCCCTCCCTTTGTTTAACAGCTTTATTGGGATATAATTCACACACCACGCAGTCCAGCTATTTAAAGTAGACAATTCAGTGGTTTTTTAGTCACAGACTTGCACAACCATCATGTCTCCAATTCCGGACAATTTTCATCATCTCTGAAAGAACCCCATGTAAGCAACAACAAGCAAACAGAGCAACTGGGCTTCATCACAATGTAAAACATTTGTGCATCTAAGGACGCTGTCAAGAGAGTAAAGACAGGCCTCAGCGTGGGACAGAATGCGTGGAAATTGCATAGCTGATAAAGGCCTAGGATCCAGAACGCATGAAGAACCTTACAAACAATCCAACTCCGCAATCAGCAAAGGCACTCAGAAAATCAGCGTCATTGGTCATCAGGGAAACATTCACCTCCTCACGGCCACAAGGGTGGCCCCACCAGCACTGCCACACCAGAAAATAAGCGCTGTTGAAGATGGGGAGAAGGTGGGACCCTCGTGTGTCAGGGGTAGGAATGTGAAATGGTTCTGCCCCTGTGGAAAACAGTTTGGTGGTTCCTCAAAAAGTTACCCACCATGACCCAGCCATTCCTCTGCTAGACATCCATCCAAAAGAATGGAAAACATGGGTTCACACATTCATGTACACGAACGTTCACGGCAGCGTGACTCACCACAGCCAAAAGTGCAAACAACTCACGGGCAAGTAGACAGACTAATGGACCTACCAAATGTGCTTTACCATGCAGTGGTGCATTAACCTTAAACAGAAAGCAGGTCCCGGCGGGGCGGTGCCTCATGCCTGTAGTGCTGGGGCGGGTGGGCCGCTTGAGCCCAAGAGTTCAAGACCAGCCTGGGCAACATGATGAGACCCTATCTGTACAAATAATTTAAAAATTTGCTGGGCATGGTGTTGTGCACATATAATCCCAGCTACTTGGGAGACTGAGGTGGGAGGATGGCTTGAGCAAAAAAACAAAACAAACAAACAAAAAAACCAGAAGAAATCTGTTACTTGGGTGAAACTTAAAAACTTAACACTAAGGGAAGAAGCCAGACACAAAAGGCCACACAGAGTAGGAGTCGCTTGACAGGAAATATGCAGAAAGGCAAATCCATAGAGACACGAAGCAGATGAACGGGTCCCGGGGCTGGGAAGGGGCATGGAGAGAGGCTGCTCGTGGCCCTGGACTTTTTTTTCTGGGGCGATGGAAGTGTTTTGGAACTGGGTTGTGGTGATGTTTGCATGATATCATGAATGTGCATTCAACTGTCCACCGTAAAGTGCTTGAAACGGTGAATTTGTTGTTTCCCTCTTTGACCACAATAGAAACAGAAACTGCCAGGTGCCTCCCTGCTGCCCACTCACTTTTTCAGCAGGATCTCTGAGGCCCCCTTGCTGAAGAGGCGGAAGCCGCCGTCAGGCATGCGGATGACTGTGCTCATGGACTTGCGGACTGAGTTGAAGGTGTACACTTTGTAAAGTTTGTCTTCCGGGATCTGCTCCCGTACAGGCTGGAAGTCCCGCTTCAGGTCCAGGACGAAACCCAGCAGGGCGCACTCTGTCTTATTGCCCACCTGGCGTGGGAGGGCACCTTCCTTCTCAGGAGGCTGCAAGATGAGTAGGGCTAGCATGGCATCGGGGACCTGAGACCTCCCTCCATGTCGTCCCTGGGGCTCCAGCTCTGCCCCTGTGTGGTCAGCACATTGTGAGGGTGTGGGAGGCAGGGAGCAGAGGAAGGTCTCCCTAGAGGACTGCAAGGGCCATGCCTTAGCTCAGGCGGTTTCCCAGCATTCGCTGGGCTCGGAAGGGCCTTCCAGAATTGGCAGGCCCTGCCCAACAGCCAGAGCCACCTACGAGGATGGACAGGAGAATTAGTGGCACCCCAGAGACCGCTGTGGCTCTAAGCAGAAGTTCTCAAGTGGGGCCTAATGAGTGCCTCGCAACGGCTCTCCCAGCACCCTGGCTGGGCCCTGCCCTGCTCCCGCCCCAGCCCTGTCCACCCGCTCCTGCCCCCACTCACTAGTATTTTGGTGGTATAGGCACTGTTGATGGAGATGGCATGGACCAAGACGTCTAGGATCTTAGGGGTGAGGGCGCTGGGGGCCGGAATCTCTTTGTAGTGGGTGTCCCCTAGATACGACTGGACCACAGTCATGCGGTTGGTGGTGAGCGTGCCCGTCTTGTCGGAACAGATGGCTGTGGCATTGCCCATAGTCTCACAGGCATCCAGGTGGCGCACCAGGTTGTTGTCTTTCATCATTTTCTGCAAAGGGTGGGGGCAGGGTCATTTGGTCCAGGTGCTTGTTGGGGTGGGGGAGTGAGAGATGTCAACACAAACATCACGTGGCTCTGTTCTGCTCATCAGCTCCACGTGTGGCACTAAGCCCACTGGGAATCTTGGTCAGCCCTGAGCCAACAGCAAAGCTCTAAGGCATCACCAACCTCATCCAATGGCGGGGCGGGATGCGCACCCAGGGACTCCCCTGCCCAAGCCCCCTCTCAGCTACCCACCACCTCTACCCCTCTGCCACCTCACCACCCCACCCCTGGCTCCCCCACCCTCCTCCCACTGCCTCCTGTTGTCCTGGGCATCTGCAGGCAGCACCTCCATCCCCTTGCCCACATTGTGCAGATACTGACCCCCTGGGGAACCCCACTGCCTGCTTTCTGGCACATCTCGTGCCCAGGAACCTGACCTGACGGATCAGGAAAGCTGCCCACTGGGTCCCTGCCCGGCATCTCCCTTCCCCCAGTTTCTGCTGTGGCCGAGGTGCCTAATGGCTTCCTAACCAAGTTTCCGCTTCTGTAAACGGTATCAACTGTAAGTTTTATGATTGATTACCTTGACAGAGTAAGCTAAGGAGATGGTGACAGCAAGAGGCAGGCCCTCTGGAACAGCCACGACCAGCACAGTGACACCGATGATGAAGAACTTCACAAAGTACTGCACGTAGACTGGCGTGCACTCTGCCAGCCACGTCCGGCCTCTCACAACAAACGTCTCAATCACAAAGTAGAGGACAAGGATGATGACAGTGATGGCAGACATCACCAGCCCTGCCACAGCCGGAAGAGGACAGAAAAGTGGTTGCCAGGGGTGAGAGAGGGAGGGAGACAGGAAGAGGGAAGAAGAGGTGTGGTCACGGTCTTGGAGGCCATTGAGAATGGCTTGTGGATTTGCCTTGCATTTTGGGATAAACAGCCCTGGCTTGGCTCAGCAGGTGAGTTGGGGCCTGTTTGCAAGGGGGCTCTGTGTGGCCTCTTCTGGAGTCCTTCTGGGGCAGGGGAGTGGAGTTTGTGCCCTGATGGCATCAGAGGCACTGCTGGGGAGGCCCAGCAAACTTCTATCCCCCACTAACCCCCAGAAGTTGGGGTACCAGCCCCACATGCCCCCAGCTGCCTTTTGAGTGTGCCAGGGCAGAGCCTGGAGCCTTGGGTGGGGGCGCCTCATGGGCAGTGGCTCGGTGTGTGACCCAAGGCTTTGGTCAAGGGTCTGCGATTTATGCTCGCTAGGGAAGGGCTGTGCCAGGCCCTGATGGCCCTTGCTGGCTCTTGCCTGTGCCCCTGGCTGCCTGGTCCCCACATAGGCTGCCACCTCCCTTCTGCCTCACTCTGCACAGCCTGGGCTCATCTCCAGGAGCCCAGCATCTTCCATGTCTAGTTGCTGGCCTGGGCCCACCACCTCCTGCCGTCCCTACCTGCTTTCCCGATCTGCACGGCTAGCTTCGTGAGCTTCCCCTGAAGGACAGACTTCTCTTTCTTGGGTGTGCTGGCTTTCTTCTTCTCGCGATCCTCCATTTCCCCACCCTCCGCGCTCTTCAGGGGTTGCATTTCCATGGCCACTGCCCCATCCTGCTTCTTAGCTGCACACAGAGGAACCCCATCGCCAAGGTTAGAGCCTGGCTGGGGAGAAGGGGTTACAAGGGACTTTCATGGGGAAAGACATTCCACACCACAGAGAGGATGCAGGATTCAGTGGCGCTTCCTTATTGCCAAGTCCACCCACTTCCTTTCTCCCGCCTCCTAAGCCCAGGCCTCTCCCGGCGTGGGTGGGGTGGTCCCAGCACTGTTCTAGGTGGGACAGAGACGGTTCTCTCGGGAGAAGGGAGGACAGACACAGCACAAGGAATCTGGGCACACAGACAGGGTGACTGGTCCTGGAATGCCCCAAATAATACCTGAGAGCAGAGGGCTGTGGCCCCTGGAATGTTCCAGAACCCTGAGCTGACTCATCTGTCTACTGGTGTCCGAGTCACCTCCCACCTCCCTCAGGGAGGCCCAGGAGCCCAGTGCACTGTCCTCCCACCAGCCAGCCCTGCACCCGCTCAGGCTCCATCTGTCCCTCCAGCACCCTCCCCGCCTCTCTCTGGAGCAGACGGCTGCTCCGGCTGCACCCACTCCGTGGCTGGCCACCCTACGTCCTCTTCAGTCCCAGGACTGACACAGCCACCTGGGGACAGCAGACTTGGCTTTCTCCCTCGCTACTCTGGTCCCCCATCCACTGGGGTTCTTGGCGCTACCACCATCACCTCTGCTTCGTCTTATTCCTGCTCACCTGGCAGCCCAAGGCTACTCGCCATGGCTCCTCTTCCCAGGGCTTCAGGATGCAATGGCCCCACCCAGCTAGGCCCCTCTAGCTTTGCACCCCACCTGCTGCCACCTTCTCAACTCAGGGCTTCAGCCATCAGGCTTCCCCCCAGTGCCCTCCCAAACCCTGGTTGCCTTTGCCTGTGACCTTCCTGAGGGCCGGGACCTGCCTTGTCCCCGTGGAGTCCCAGCACCTAGAGCTGGCTGCTGCATTGGGCAACATCTCCTCCATAGGCCACACTGGCCTCCCCCACTCCCCTGCTCCTGCTTCCTGAGCCTCACAGCCAGGAGCAGGCCAGCCCCAGGGTGTCGGCACGTGCTAGGCGTCTGGGGCTGAGAGGAGAGTCGGGTCTCTGGGCCTCAGTGGACTTGGCTGAAAGGAAGCTGGCTTGGGAAACACCCTGAGTGGTACCTAGAGCTTCAGGTGAGTCAGCTCTTCTGGGCCTCAGTTTCCTGATCTGGCCAGAGTGGACCTGGGGTGCCCACTTACAGGTGACCCTCATAGCCGTGCTGGGCTAAGGTCTCCTCTAGGTGGCTGTGTCTGTGGCCAGGGTACCCTGAGCAGCCCCAGGGGTGTACCCTCTCCTACCTCTGCCCCAGGACGGGACTGTGCAACTCACTCACCTGCTCTCCAAGTGCTGCTCCTGCCACCAAGGCAGCTGACCCTTCCCCTGCACCGTGCCCTCCACCAGCCCACCCCCAGGGCTCCAAGCCAGTGGCGCCCGAGCAGCGGCACACGTTACCTTTGGTCTGGCTACTCTCCATGGCCCCATCCTGCTGCTTGCCTACAATGGAAGAGGGATGACAGACACGAAGGCTTGAGGACACCGTGTGGCATGCACATGCACAGCACAGCCTGGGGCACATGGCAGAGGGGGTGGGGAGGAGGGGCCTGCTTGCTGGTGGCCCTGAGCGCTGCGCACTGCGGCACCTTCTGCATGCCCCGCCTCTCCAGGCTCACCCCGTCACCACCTCCCAGCAAGCACACAGTCACCATGAACACCGGTATTCCTGAGCCAGACCCGTGGTCTTTGAGCCTTGAGCCCAGACCTACAGTGAGCCCCTAAAGCCAGCCCTGGATGGGCCCTAGGTCACACATGGCTGGCAGTGGGAGGTTCCCGGAAGCTGGGACCTGCTCCCTGCAAAGCAGCTCAAGGGGTTCACTTAGATGGCCCCTAACCCCTGGAAACTGGGCAGACAGCACCCAGCTGCCCTGGCCTAGGGACCGGTTTTCCCTGCAGCCACGGCCAGCAGTTAGCTCAGTGTGTGTGTGTGTGTGTGTGTGTGTGTGTGTGTGTGTGTGTCTTGCTCTGTCACCCAGGCTGGAGTACTGTGGCTCGATCGCAGCTCACTGCAACCTCTACCTCCCAGGTTTAAGCGACCCTCTTGCCTCAGGCTCCCAAGTAGTTGGGATGATGGGTGCACACCACTGTGCCCGGCTAATTTTTGTATTCTTAATAGAGACGGGGTTTTGTCATGTTGGCAAGGCTGCTCTTGAACTCCTGACCTCAAGTGATCCTCCCACCTTGGCCTCTCAAAGTGTTGGGGTTACAGGTATGAGCTACTGCGCCCTCTGTGTATTTTAAAGGGACGAAGGAATAAGACTTTAGGACTCCGCAAAGTGCTTTTAGTTCATTGGTCAACCTAGGGCCACTGCACGGGAGCGCCCGCCTGAGCACCAGCTCGCAGCAGCCCTGGAAGGCCGGTCTGGGCCCCAAGAGAACCCCTATGCGGGGGCTCAGGTGGTGGGTGCAGCCACGCCTTCTGAGAGCCGCAGTTAGAGGAGCTTCCTGGGGCCACATCCTCAGTGGCCCCACCTCTAGAATAGAACCGACCAGGGCAGGAGGGGCTTGTGGGCAACCACAGTAGCTGTGGTCAGTTTCCATCCAATGACTCATGTCACTGGGCATCCAGGGATACAGATGGTGCCAGGTGGCTCCCAGGCAGTTGGGGTTGGGGTCTGGGGTCTCTGGACAGCAGGGAGAGGCCCTCCACTCAGCCAGGGCTAGGGCATTCATCAGGCCTTCTCTGCCCAGGCTTCCTGTGGGCACAGAGGGCCTTCTTGCAGGGAGGGGAGACCCCTATCGACATAGGATGGCAGTGCGATGACCCCGCAGCACAGCAGGGGAGACAGCAGAGCCTTGGGGCCGTGGGGGCCCGAAGTAAGCATGGACTATAAACCAGCCTGCACACAGACCGTGGTCGGCCTCTGGAGGAGGGAGGCAGTGGGGTGCCTGGGATGAGCATTGCTGGAAGAGGAAGGCTGGGCCTGGCCAGAAGACACAGGAGTGGGGGAAGGTGAGGAGGGGAAGGACACCTGGAGAAAGGTGCGTGGGAGTCAGGGTCAAGAGACAAGAAACAGGGAGTTGGGTGCAGGTAGGAGGGAAGGATCCTAGGTGTGTGCCTGGCAGGCCGCGCCGAACAACGGGGATGCGGGGGAGCGAAGGGGAGGGCAAGCAGGGAGCCCCCGGTCTTGCGGCTATCCTCTTTCCGGCTCGCTAGCTGCTGCTGTCCCTCCAGGGCCCCCTCAGGGTTCCCTTCCTCCAGGAAGTCCTCTAGCTCTGACTCCTAAGTTGCACAGCCTGAGGGCCTGGAGAGTGGGGGGTAGGTGGGGCCTGGGAGGGGCTGTATGGTCTTGTCAATTTCAAAGAGGAGAGGCCTGGAACAGTTGAGAAAGGCACACTCATTTAAGGGACAGAAAAGGTAAAAGGCTAGAAACTCCAGAGGAGCATGGGTTCCCATGGGCATGGGAGAGGGCCCTTTGTGCAAGGCATGGGGATGCAGCCCTGGCGGGGGCAGCGGGGCTTCCTGGGACAGAGGCCTTGGGACTCCAGCCCAGACTGGACGAGGCCCAGGGTCACCTATCTGTCTGTGCACTCCCAGGGCATTCACTGGGGTGGGATACTGCACTGAGTCCTACAGCGACATGGGACTTGGTGCCAAGAGGAGCCGGTGCAGGGAGATACAGGCCCAGGCTGCCAGAAGGCGGGGCTCATCAAAGCTTCTAGGTCACAGGAGCAGGGGCTTTGGGCTCAGGGCTGAGGGCTGACCTTTCCCCTAGCCCTGACTGCCTGACCCTGGCCCCCATGCCCTACACACTGGCCCCAGGGCCCTGGCTGAAGGCCCCTGGCAGGAAGCAGAGCCTTCCGGTTCCAGCGTGGCTCCCTACCCTGTTTCGACTGCAGAAGAGGCCAGAAGGGGCGTGGCAGCCATTTGATCTTGTCCATCAGGGCCTCCCTGAACAGTCCTCGGGTTCGAGCATCTGATGACTCTGCCCACTGCAGGGCCTGACGGTGGTAACTCCAACCACAGGGCGAGCAATGGGCCCTTCTGGTGCAGGCTTGCATGGATTTGTAAGCCCCAGGGCCGTGCCACCACCCACAGGCGGGCAGCCCTGCCCTTACCTGTCCCAGTCTCCGCTGACCTCTGACCCCCACCTCCCTGACTGCCTCCCATGCAGGCCTGGGATCCATGGTACCTTAATGGGCATGGGCCCTGAGGGTGGGCACGAGGGTCCTCGCAGCCCCTGTCCCTCTGACCCCATTCATGCCCAGGTAGGCATGGGGTCCTGAAGCCTTTGGGGATGGTGGTTTCAGGGAAGCTCCTGTCCATAGCACTGGAGGGGCCCTTGGCCTGCCAGCTCTCCAGGGGAAAATCCTCAGAAGAGGAGTCCCTAAGGAGAATCAGAAGAGAGGACCTGGCCTCCCACCCACTTGGGCTGCATGTGAGGAGGCCACCCCAGCGCCGGGGACTGGCGGCACTGCTGCGTTACCTTTCTTATCCTTCTTCTCTTCCTCCTCTCCGCCAGCTCCAAGCAGTGTGAAGATGATGCCTGTCTGGGAGTTCACGCCAACAGCAGTCACCACCATTCTTCCAGAACCTTCCATGACATGAGTGCCTGGCACAGCAACACGGAGACTGAGACAGGAATTTACACCACCCGGTGGGGGCCATATTCAGCGCTACGGCTTGTCTTCCAGGGTATCCCAGAAGCAGGGATGTGGCCTCTAGAGGCCTCTAGAGGCCGTGTCCATCTTAAAACTAGGCTGAAGCCTCCTTCCCCACAGGGCCCTGTCCAGTTTCACAGTACATTTCCAACTGGGATAAACACTGGGCTACGTTGGAACCTTCTGGAAAAGAAACACTACCCGCACTGCATATTCTCCCTGGTGGAGGCCAAGCCCAGCAGAGGGCTTGGACAGGATGCTGGCCCACATGGCTGCCAATGCCCCTTGGTGCCAGGTTGGCTGGGAGGGTGGCCCTCACCTGAGAGCATCATGGGGTCTTTGTCAGCTGACTTGCGCACGTGGTCAGACTCGCCCGTCAGGGAGCTCTCGTCGATCTTGAGGTCGTTGGCCTGGATAAGCACGCCGTCGGCTGGCAGCAGGTCTCCTAGAGCAGCGGGAAGCAGAGGCCTTCTCCCCACTGCCTCCTCCCAGATGCACCGGGGGAGGCCCCATCAAGTGCCATGGACCACCTGGGAAAGGGACTTAGGAGTCCCCCTTCTTCTGGGGGGAAACACCCACACCTAGCCGTGTGGTCCTGCTCCTAGGGAACAAAGGTGATTTGCACCCTTTGCATGGGGGAAGCCCTCGGAGAAGGCTGTGAGGACAATTGTTTCTTGGGGGGCCTGCTGTGTCTGAAACCCTCCTGTTCTGTTCTGCCCTGCCCTGTGCTCCCCCACCTCCCCCACCTCTGGCCTCCTGCAGGTGACCACACCCACTCCACCGGGGAGACCCTGTGCTGGGGCTCTCCTCTGGTCCACCCTCCCTGGAAATGACAGGGTGGGTGACGACCGGGGCACTCACCGTACTTGACCTGGGCAATGTCCCCCACCACCAGTGCAGCCACGGGGACCTGGAGGAGCTGCCCATTCCGGATGACCGTAAACTTCTGCTCCTGCTCAATCCGGCTCTGCAGGCCTCGGAACTGCTTCTCCTTGCTCCAGTCATTGAAGGCCGTGACCAGCACCACACAGATGACAGACAGCAGGATGGCGGCCCCCTCGATCCAGCCAGCCTCGGCCTCGCCCTCATCTTCTGCGCCTCCTGACACATTCCCGCAGGCTGTGCCGAGGGCAGAAGGGAAGTGGTGGAGGAGACGTCACCGAGAGCCCTGTCACTTGGGGTCTCAACATCCTGTGACCCTCCCCTCACCTCAACTCCCATTCCTGTCCCTGCTTCCAGCCCAGGCCCTGGCCCTCACCTTCACTCTCCTCTCCAGGCGGTGCATAGAATGAGAGGCCCAGAGAGACAATGGCAGCCACCTCCAGGATGATGAGGGTGACGTCCTGCAGGGCCTCCCACACCAGCTGCAGGAACGTCTTGGGCTGCTTGGGCGGGATGAGGTTCTGCCCGTAGATCTGCCTGCGCTTCTCCAGGTCATCCGCGTTGTCTGCCAGGCCTGCACAGCGCCCGGGAAACACAGGGGAGAGGACAGGATGGGACCAGCAGGGCCTGTGTGTCCCAGGCCTCCTATGTGGCCCTGCCTGACTACTCCTGGGGTGGGAGCAGCCCTCTGGGGCCACCTGGCCAGCGCCTGGCTCTCCCTCTAGACAGTAAGCTCTCATAAGGCAAGACCTGCACAGGCCTGTGGCACGAGCCTTTCTGCAGACCGCTGGGGAGGGGGGTACACGGGGAGCAAGCATGCAGCCCTCTGGCTGCCGTCACAGGGAGTCCCTAGCATGAGGAAGGGATGCTAGCCACCCTCCTCCTGACATGCAGATGACAAAACAGGCCAGGAGGCTCCCGGACTCCAGCAGGTCCCAGGTCCCTGTGCTGTCCTGGCCACCTACCTCCACACTACCACTGAGGGGGCACTGGAAGGCAGGGGACAGGACCCAACAAGGGGAGTATAGCCAAGGGTTGCCAGGATACAGGACAGAGAATAGCCAACTGTCCCCTGGGGAGGGAGCGAGTGTCCAGGGGACTTTAATGGAGACACGGGGAGGGCCACCAATCAGGGGAGCCAGGGATGGCACCAGCCTGGCTTGAACCAGACACCAAAGACTAGGCCAGGGCTCTGCCCCGTCTGGAAACAGCTCTCCAGCTCCCAGCCTGTGAATTTCCTGCTCTGTAAGATGGGGCCAGCCAGTCCCAAAGACTGGCAAGGTCGCACAGCCCAATCTGTGGGGTCAAGAACAGCCTGCAAAGAGGGCGAGTGGGGCCTGAAGGACAGGGGCATGAGCATGGTCAGTGCCAACGGATCGGGACACTGCTCCTGGGCTGCTCAAGCTGCTCCCTGCAGGGTGCAGGCAAGGCCACTGAGGCTGGAGGTGGGGAGGGCCTGGTGCCCATGAGTCAGACCTCTGGCCTGCGGCCCAGGTCAGGACAGAGCCTACACGGCCTGATAGGACCCGGCGAGCACAGGGCTGTCAGGACACAGCCTTGGTTCTCATGCGGTTCCAGTGACAACTTCAAGCCCTCAGCCGGAGCTCACAGCCAAGGGAGGCCGGCCCCCGCTGTGTCCTCTGAGCCTACTGTGCTGTGCAAGGGCTCCTCTACATGGTGACTTGAATGACACCCAGAGCTACTCAGAAGCCCCTGAATTGTCCTTGCCCTCACAATCAGAGCCACCTGTCCCTATCCAATTCTGTCACTTGTCATCCTTGGAGATGCTCACTTCTCAGCCTTCCTAGGCCTGAAGGTACTGGAGGCTTACATGTATGACTGGCATCGAGGCATGGACACCCACTCAGCCACCTTCTCCTGGGACAGGCATGTGGGATGACACTCTCCCCCCACATGGGGCTGCCCTCGGCCCCAGGATTCTCAGCCTTGGCTGATCCCAAATCCTCCCGCACAGCGCTCACCCAGTGCCCAGGGCTGTCCTGGGCGGTGACCAGACTCACGCTGACACCTAGTGGACAAACAGCAGCTTGCCGCTCCCAGCCCTGGGCAGCTGGCCTCGTGCTGCCATCTGCTGCCGGGACAAGGTGGTCAGACAGCCCAGCCCCAGACCATGGGGCACTCACAGTTGGTCTGGGAAGGCACACAAGACCCCCTGGATGACTGCAGAACAGGGGCTAACCGTGGGGCTTCTGAGGCTCATTCGACCCAGTTAGGCGCTGGCCACAGGCGCACTCCCCACTCAGAAGAGCTACAGCTGTGCCTGCCTCACTCCCCACTGGCTCAGGTTTCTTCGGGAGCCAAAGACCTCTTGCTGAGGCCCGAGCTTGCCCCAATCGGGAGCCTGGGGGCAACGCTGGACCTTAGCTCCTGGGTGGTGGGGAGGGGTTGGGGACCAGGGACCCAACTGAGGGGTGTGCACCTCACTCTGGACTGGGACTGTCTCCCGGAATGACAGGAGCTAAGCCAGGTGGGGTCAGTACTAGGGAGTACAAGACCCCCCCAGTGACTTGAGAACAAGCACATGCTAACCTCGGGACCTCTGGGGATGGGGAGAGGGAAGGGAGGGGCAGGAGAAGGCTCCTGAGACCCCTTAGCCTGGAGCCTCCATGTGAGTCTGTCTCTTGCCTGCCCCGCGTCACATGCCCAGTTTGTCCGTGAGAGCAGCCGGGCCCCTGGCCCCTTCCCCAGGAGCTCTCTCGCCCTGGTCAGCCTCTCCCTTGGCCTTGACCTGCCCTTGCAGCTGTAGCCTGGCTCGTCCCTCCTTGGCTACATGGGCAGCTGCCCTCGGCCTGGCCCTGTGGTGTTAGCCTTCCTGTGGGCTTGGGGTCCTGTTGACTGCCCCACCGAAGCACCCACTGACGGGGCGTGGGGGCAGGGGCTGGCCGGTGGGCATGGACATAGATGGGTGGCCTGCCTGGAGCAGAGGCCAGATGCCATCAGAATTGGATTAGGAGCATCTTGTGCTGGCTACCAGCTAGTCCTGTGGAGCCCAGCGGGGGACTGGGTGAGGCCAGGTTCCCGGGCAAACCCACTTCTCAGTTCAGCCTGAGACCCAGGTTTCCTGACAACAGCAGCACGGTTTCCAGGATGGTTCTGGAATCCTCTTGGAGTGCTCCCAAGGCAGAGGGGAGTGGATCGATAAGCGGACCGCCAGAAGATAGTCCCCTTCCCGCAATGCGCCACACGCCAGAAAGCACCTGCCCATGGGGGTGTGCCTGCCTCCTGCCCAGCCCCAAGTCTGCCCACCTTGCCAGGGGCTTGGCATGGGGCCTGAGACGCAACGAAGCCAGCTGCCCCCATGGCTCAGGCCCTTGTGTCTGAGGAATGAGGGGCAGGCACGTCTGAGTAACAGGGTCTGGGCACATGACCCGGCTGGGGGATATGGGGATCGAGTCACCTACTCTTGGCACCTAGACAGCTTGAGCCTGAGGACCTTGAGGACTGAAGAAGGGAGAGGCCGGTTCTCTGCTGCTCATTCTTCGGGCAGCAGATCCAGGCCTGGCCGGCTCCCTGCACTGTGGCCTTGGGGACCGAGGCACTCGGAAGCCCATCAGAGGCTAAGCCACCCACCTGTGCACCTGCTCTACTCTGTGCCCCCGCCTCCGAAGGCACGTGAGAGCTCCTGAGCTCCACGGCAGAATCGGGCAGGTTCCCAGGGGCCTTGACATTTTAAATATTTAACAAGGCCTGGCAGACAGGGGGAAGAGCAGCCAGCTGAGACCCATCTGCTTCCTTTGATCTGGGAGAGGCCAGAGCCCTTGTGGCTAAATGGCCCTCCACCCAACCTCCTGGGGGCTGGGCAAGGAGGAGGGCAGGCAAGAGACAGTCGGTCGGGAGTGGAGCCAAGCCATCGGCCCCAAGCAGCTGCACGGTGCAGGCAGCGTGCGATGGGCGCATCAGCTTCACAGCACAAAGCTGGGGAGACCCAGGCCAACCTGGAGTTCCTGACCTGGCCCGAAGCCCCCCTCCTCCATCCCACTCCTCCCTGCAGCCTGCCTGCCCCCTGCAGACAGAAGGGCCGAGGAGGCCGGAGCCACAGGAGAACCGTCTCTGGGTTGGGGTGAGAGCAGAGTGGGAGGCTGGAGGTACTGAGGAGCCACGGGGCTGGGAGCAGAGGAGACGGCTGGGCCCAGGCGCTGCGCTGACAGGCAGCAGATCAAATCAGCTTGCGCTGGCTGGGGTACAGACCTGGCACCAGGCTGGGATCGTCCCAGCAGCCCTGCCAGGCACACGACAGCTAGGCCAGAGAATGCTGCGGATTCTGGGGCTGGGCCTGGCTCCTGGGGGTCCCCGCTTCATGGCAGACCCCAGCAACCAGGTGGGCAGGCCACACAAGGCTGGGCGGAGCAACGCCTCCCCCAGGGACAGTCACGCCTCCACCCCAGACCTCCACCCCAGATCCTTCTAGACACTGCTCACTGAAGCCCTCCTGCACTTGTACCTCTGATCAACACTCTGGGCCTCCTTCCTGCCAGACCCAGGAGAGGCCCCAGCCACCCCAAGCTCCAAAGGCTTGCACCCTGACCGCTTCTTCCTGTTCGGATCCCCCTTAACTGAACACAGGGGTGAGCATTCCAGGAACCCCCAGATATGCAGTCAGGGCTGCCTTCTTCCTCCTGCCCTACCCCGCTTCTCAGAGGGGTTTCTGTTAGGGGCCCATGTGTTCGTCCCATGAGGTTCCTATCTCCGCCTCCCCTACCTGGCTCTATAGAGTGGAGAACTGCTGATTTTGAAGGTGTGGGGATGAGGGGTCAGGTCACACCCCCTTGAGGACCCAGATTGCCTGGAACCTCTCCCACTCAAGGGAAATGGCTGAGGAGGGGCACAGGTGGCCCTTGACCCTGGCCAGCCTTGGGGGTAAGGATGCCTGCAGGATGCCTCTCTGAAGGCTGGGGGGAGGGCTGGGTGGCACACTTACCCACTGTGGGCGAGGTCTTCAGCCTCCGGCAGAGCCCGCTGACGTCCCCGTAGGCCTCCTCGATCTTCTGCAGCGCCTCGGCCCCTCTCAGCTCCATGAGGGTGCGCAGCTCTGCCAGCGTGCACCCAAAGCCTCCAGCGTGGGGGGCCTCCCGCTGCTGCTGGGGCTTGGGGTGGAACTCGATGGAACTATTGGCCATGTCACCCATGCTGCCTGTCAGGCCTCCTCACACGTGCAACCTCGGCAGCCGCAGCTAGGGCCAGGTGGCCACCCACGGTCCCAGTGCCTGGGCAAGGTTTGGCAGTGGTGGAAAAGCTGCTAATCGTGGACACCTGGGGAGAAGGAGGCGCGGAGCAGTTGAGACAGTCTGTGCCATGATCCGCCAAGGGCAAAGTAACCTCCCAGGCTGGGCCGGTGGCCCTCATGCTCTGCCAGGCCCAACCGGCCATGCCACTCCTGGGTCCTGCCTACCACAGGTGCCCGGAACCTGGAGGGCTTGGCCAGTTGGGGAAGGGGCAGTGTTGGTGCGTGCTGCCAGGACCCTGCCCTCACTGCCTCCAAATCCACCAGGAACACATGCTGGAGTGAGGGCAGCGTGCTGGGACTGGGCAGTGGCCGGTCTTGCCCGTGCCCGACCGCCAGTCCTGGGCTTGTCCAGCCCGGCTCACTCCCTGCTCTTGTCTGCTTAAGACACGCCCGGTGCAGCTGGCATGATATGAGTCCCTGGCGGTCTTCTGGTGCAGCTCTAGTGGCTCAGTTTCTGCGGCCCTGAGGGTGCCTGGGGGGCCCAGGGCGAGGAAAGGAGGAGGCCTGGAGGGAGGGTGGTAGAGAGGGGAGGGGAGAGAGGGACAAGTGGGAGGGGCAAAGAGAGGGAGGGAAAGGGGGATGGAGGGAGGGAGAAGAGGGAGGGGATAAAGGGAGTGGCTGAGGAGGGGAGGAGGAGAAAGGCGAGTGTGCCAATGTCCCAGCCTACAGCATAGTGCCACCCCCTCCCCTCTACGCCCTTCTTCCCTCCACATGACAAGGTAAGGAGCTAAGGTCTCCCCACGCTGAAAACATCCAGGCCATGGCCCTGGCCAGACTGCCTACCCCCCTCTGCCAAGCATCGAAAAGTTGTCATCCCTCTCCCTGTCCCCCTCAGCTTATCCAAGGACCCGCTAGCACCCAGGCTGCTCCTCCTGGGTCCCCCTCCCCCACCGCAGAGCCTGCGGTGCTGTCCACAGCCTGTCTCTCTCCACTCCTTCCTGGCCCGAGCGGAAGTGGAAGCATCTCCCAGGGCCACATGCTAAGCCTGCCACAGTGCACGTGACCTGGCCTTGACATCAGCCAAGAGCCCTCCTGGCAGCTCAGTGGGGCCCTGACCCCTTGTCTCTGGGGAAGCTCCTGGTTCAGAAGGATCCCATGGAAATGAGTGGCCCAGAGCCCCGAATCAAGGTGACAAATCCCTCAGGCAGCCAAGTCCATGCTTTACTCTCAGGAGAGGCCCTGGTGGATACTTCAGGAAACATCCGTCCATCATGACCCACGTTTGAAAAGCATGGGCATTTGCATGTTTAATCTTGCAACATTTTCCACACGAAGCAGCCTTCACTTCTGGGAGATATGGGGACAAAATGGTGGCAATGTGCCTGTGCCATCCTCTCTCCCCACCTCTCCCTGCCCTGTCTTACAGTTGGTCACCTGTCTCATGTTCACTGAGCAACTACTACATGCATGGCACTCGATAAGTCTCAACGAACCCTGTCCCTCTCCAGCTGGGACAAAGAAAGCAGCAGGCCTTGGGGCCAAGAACTGTGAGGTTGCAGCTGGGACAAGGGTGAGGGAAGGCTTCTGGGGATAGGCATGAGGACAGAGAACTGGAAGGTGTGACAGCTGGGGAGAGGGGGCCGGGGCAGCAAGCAGAGCTGTCCCAGGCAGGGAGGGCTCCTTCTGGGGGTGCTGTGTAGACGAATTGTACCTGCTTTTGTGAATACGAGAAACAGGCTGGCTTGGGGAAGTGGCAGAGCCAGAAGACAGCTGGGTACATGGCTGTCACCTGCACTCCTCATCCTCTTGAGACTGCCTCCCCTCCCTGCCCCAGGACCTTTGCTTCCCTGGGCTCCAGTCGCCTCATGCCTCAACATTCCCACTATGCAGCAACTTGGTGCAACTGTCAGGTTCAAGCTCTGTGCCCCCGGGGGGTGACAGAGTGAATGGCTTGTCTGGTGGGCTCGGGTGGCACATGGCCATGACAGAAATGCTTGTTCCTCAGAGCAGGGTTCCCCATGGCATGCTCATCCTCCCTCCTCTGACCAGGGCATACTCAAGGCCAGCTCTGTCCTCCCCTCCTGGTCCCCTGACCCCACAGGGGTGGCCCAGACAGAACCACACCAGGTCCTCCTGACTAGTACGGCCATGGCTGTGGCTGAGTAGATCCACAGTGACTCATGGGGAGGGCAGTGGGCAAGAGGAGTCCTCCCCTCTGCCATGGTCCCGGGGCCAAGTTCCTTCTTCTCGGCTGGCCCTGCTGGCCCTCCCCACGTCAGGATCCCCCACAAGCAAGCTCTGTGTCCTGTGCACCACCTGGTAGGTCTCCCTCCAGTCCGGCCACTGGCCACGACCCATCCCCATCAAGCAAAAGGCCAGATTCCCTCTGAGCACCTCCCAGCTCCGGCTCCCGCCCCAGCTGCACAGCCCTGCCAGTCCTGAGCCCTGACCGCGTGCCCTCTGTTCCAGCTCCACCTGCTGACCTCTGACGAATCCTCTTAGCCACAATTCAAGCGGAACATTCTCCAGGAGTCTCTGCCAGTTCCCCAGCCAAAATTGATGGCGCCTGAGTCTATAATCCCACGACCCATTCCTGTTTGACTCTGCTTGACATTGCAGTGATCTGTGAGCCTGTCTCCCACGAGCTGGGTCCTGAGCTCTTTGAGACACTTGGTGATGGAGCGGCCACATGGGGCCGGGAGCCTCAAGGAATGAGGGAGTGGGGGCCTGGCCCACAAAGGAGGATCCTGGAGCCCTGGGAGGCGGAGTCTCCATCCTGGAGGACAGGGTAGGGTGGGGGTGCTTAGCTAATTCTCACCGTCTTCATGAATGCAATAGGCTATAGGAGAGACAGGAGCCATCAGTTAAAGTAAGCCCCATCTACACTGACTGTCAGCTGCTGTAGAGACCAAATGGCATATACTCTGCTTTCCCTGGGTTCTATATAAGCCTGGGCGATGGCCTCCCTGATTCCCAATGAAGACAGGAGCCATCGCTGAAATGGCCAAGAGCCGAAGTCACTGGGCCTATCAGGTCGGCAGGCCTGACAGAGTTTCCGGCCTGGGCTGGCTGCCGAGAACGGTCTGTAGGCACCAAAAGGGCAGGGAACATACCATTTCTGTGCTTTTTCATCTTTCTGACCTTAATTGGCTTAACTGAATTGAGAACCTCCACAGAGGGGGCCTCACACCTTCCAGCATTTGCGCCATCCCCACACAGACTCTCCGGCCTTGCCGGGGGAGACAGCCAGGGGGGTCCCTGGCGGATGCCTCTGGGCGCTGCTGGAGGAGATGGCCCAACTCCAGGCCCATTACGCAACCCGACGCCCTCACCTCCCTGCTAGGTTCACACACAGTGCCTGCCCCCCCACCCAGTGACTCAAACCCACCCGGCCAGAAACCCAGGGGCCCTCTTTCCCGTGTTGTCCCTCCCTGGCCACCCCTAACTGGGCTTTGGGGGTTCTCCCAGCACCTCCAACTTAGTCCCCCATGGACTTCCTCCAGGCCTTGGGCAGCGCAGTACGCTCCAGAAGGCTGGGCACTTTCTAAGTGGGGGCACCTCCACTCCCGGGCTGCCCCCTCAGGACCCAATCGCACACTGAGTTTGCAGCCCACATCTGCATGCCAGCCCTGGACAGACATGTTTCTTTCACTACACCCTCAGAAACACCTTACAAGGGCCAGGAGAATGCTCCCTGCCTTACAGAGGTGAAACTGAGGCTGAGGAAGGCTCCTGCTTCTGCGGTAGTTCTGCCGGCCCTACCTACCATGTGACTTGAGGTGGGTCATGACTGCTCTTGCTGGGGCGCTCTGATGCCACCCCCAGAAGCCTCCCCAGCAGGTTCAGGTTGCACTGCACTCAGCCACCTGCTCCACCTTAATGGAGTGGAGGACAGATCGGGGATGAGACCCCACCACTGTCCTCCAGATCTCAGGTGAGGCACACGTTGGAATTTGCCCTGCTCTCCATCCTGAAAACAGCCCCACTGCACCCCAGCCAAGTACCCCTTCCGTTTCTGGAGTCTGTGTGGACATACGTCCCCACAGGGGTGATGGGGCATGTACTGAAGGAAGTCCTAGTCCCGGAGTCACTCACTAGTCACGAGTGATGAGAACATGCAGCCCCTGGGGCCTCAGAACATCCAGATGCCAGAGCGAGGCCTGGGATGCCGTGGCCTCGAAGCAGAACTCAGGGTGAGAGGGCAGGACACGGAGGCCTGGGGGCCCACCCGGGCACGTGCCCTCCACCTTGGGCCCTCCTGGAAGCAGACTGTCCATCACCTGCTCCCTACAGACCCACCAAGCATGAGCCCGTCATCCAGAGGCCCATCGGGGATTCCTTGAAACACTAATCCTCCGTCTCTCTCCACCTCCAGGCTCAGGAAGAGCGAGCCAAGGAGACAGGGAGAGGCGTGGCCCAGGCCTCCCAGGTCAGGACCGGGGTGGCCTCCCAGAGCAGCCGGGGAGCAGGAGGGGAGAGCGCACGGGAGGAGGGCACCCAGGCTGGCAGCCACCCTGCCTTCTCCTGGCCTGGCGTGATCCCAGGCAGTCGGAGATGCTGGAGGCCAGTGTGCACCTGGGAGACCCTTTAACCCCCATCCCCACATCTTCCTTCCCTTGTGGCAGGCCCTCTCCTTCCTGTCTGCCCCCGGCCCCTCTCCCTGCATGATGCACTTTGGTGATCCCCCCGGAGGGGAAAGGAGGGTTCCAAGGACGGGGCCTGCTTGCAGCCGGGGAGGGGGAGGAAAGGAGCCGAGGCAGAGAACAGCCTCATTAATATTTGAGAGGCACCGCCGCCGCAGCTCCTGGGCCCTCACGGCTCCACTAGTGCTGGTGGAGGGAGGAGGATGGGAAAAGAGAAGGAAATAAAATCCGAGAAAACAGATTTAAAGGGGCAGGCTTCCCCTCCCCCGCCCTCTTCATTCCTTCCTCCCCCTTGTTCCTGGTACAATCTGTGCACACGCCAAGTGGCTCTCATGCCTGGAACAGCTTTGGGCAAAAACAATACCCGTCACCATGGCGCCTCCTCCCCACTCCCGCATGCACCCACCTGCCTGAAGCTCTGCCTTGCAGGGCAGTCCTGGAGG